AGTCTACCATTCATCCATGCTTTGAATATTGCTGCCACATATGGTCCGGTGCTCCTGCTATATATTTAGAGATTCTTGATAAAATCCAAAGAGGAATCTGCAATGTTTCTCTTCTGAATCTATCTTACATATTTATAAGTCTACTATTCATCCATGCTTTGAATATTGCTGCCACATATGGTCCGGTGCTCTTGCTATATATTTAGAGATTCTTGATAAAATCCTTGATAAAAAAGAGGAATCTGCAATGTTTCTCTTCAGAATTTATCTTACATATTTATAAGTCTACTATTCATCCATGCTTTGAATATTGCTGCCACATATGGTCCGGTGCTCTTGCTATATATTTAGAGATTCTTGATAAAATCCAAAGAGGAATCTGCAATGTTTCTCTTCAGAATTTATCTTACATATTTATAAGTCTACCATTCATCCATGCTTTGAATATTGCTGCCACATATGGTCCGGAGCTCTTGCTATATATTTAGAGATTCTTGATAAAATCCAAAGAGGAATCTGCAATGTTTCTCTTCAGAATTTATCTTACATATTTATAAGTCTACCATTCATCCATGCTTTGAATATTGCTGCCACATATGGTCCAGAATTTATCTCATATTTTGCATTATATATTTAGAGATTCTTGATAAAATCCAAAGAGGAATCTGCAATGTTTCTCTTCAGAATTTATCTTACATATTTATAAGTCTACCATTCATCCATGCTTTGAATATTGCTGCCACATATGGTCTGGTTCTCCTGCTATATAGTTAGAGAATCTTGATAAAATCCAAAGAGGAATCTGCAATGTTTCTCTTCAGAATCTATCTTACATATTTATAAGTCTACCATTCATCCATGCTTTGAATATTTGCCACATATGGTGCCACATATGGTCCAAAGAGGAATCTGCAATGTTTCTCTTCAGAATTTAGTGTCTACCATTCATCCATCTTTGAATATTGCTGCCACATATATTTAGAGATTCTTGATAAAATCCAAAGAGGAATCTGCAATGTTTCTCTTCAGAATTTATCTTACATATTTATAAGTCTACCATTCATCCATGCTTTGAATATTGCTGCCACATATGGTCCAGTGCTCCTGCTATATATTTAGAGATTCTTGATAAAATCCAAAGAGGAATCTGCAATGTTTCTCTCCAGAATCTATCTTACATATTTATAAGTCTACCATTCATCCATGCTTGGAATATTGTTACAAAGAGAAGTTTATAGTTTGATAATGAAATTCTGTGTTTGTGTATTTATAAGTCTACCATTCATCCAGCAAGATCATATGGATTTGTGTTGACGACTGGGATCAATGTTTATTGAATGTTACATATTTATAAGATCTTACTGGCGACTTACATATTTGAAAAGTTGCCTCTTTTAATGAAAAAAGGTAGGATCTTATTCCCACGGAACTGGCAACTGGGAAAACTTGATCTTACATTAAAAATATGTGATTGGTTAATTTTTAACCAATCACTACACTCGTACTAAACAGAATAGGTAAGTATGCTCAGAACCAAAAGATTCAAAGGAACAACTGCGATGGCTAAATTGTCCTATACAAAGGTAGTAGTAATTTATTAGCCAATCGCAGGTGAATAAAATGATTTGGAGTGTATGTGGGTGTGAAAAACATAGCAATCGCTATGTTACCCCCCCACAGATAGAAAAAAAGGGAATGCAAACATTTTTTTTAATATGTCCGGTACTGCTTGAATTTGGAAGGCCAGTGGAACTTCCTCCCTCTTTTTGTAACTTGGTGATCACATTTCTTAAGGAAATACCAGGGATACCATCAAGTCTGCATGCTTTTTGAGGATCCAGAGATGACAGCTGAAACCATTGAGGAGATTATATCCATATCACTCGACAGAGATGCTGTTCTAAGTGGAAAGTCAGGCAAGGTTTCTCATGTTGAGTCAAGAATATAATTGGAAGAGAATTTACAAGCAAAGCATTCTGCTTTTTCAGCAAAAGATTTTAACACCTTAAATCGAGGGAAGATAGAAGGGATATAAGACTTACTCTTATTTAAGACAGAACAGGCTAGGAGTTATGAGAGCCAAACTTCTTAGATGCAATATGGTACCTCATTCTCTCAGATATATATCAATATATTAGGCGAAGAATTTAGGGGATAACATTTGCATTCTGAAGAATTGCCTAAAAATTGAAGGTTGTTTGCCCCCCCCCTTTTAGAACTAATTCACTAGTTACTCTCAGGCCAAAGAGGTTTTCTCTTTCTGAAAGGTTTTATCATGTATTAAATAATAATCAGCAAATTATGCTGTTGCTCCTTTTGCCTAATTTACCTTTCTGACTAATTGTGACCATGGAGCTGGCGGATTTTAAATTTTATGTACCTCCCCTCTAGAAAATTGGATGGTATGTACTTATAGGTCAAATAGTTACAGCATCCTAGCTTAGTAGGAGTTAATAACACGAAAGAATGCTTACTGATTCTTAAATTCAAAGGTTAGGCCTAGACTTTTGGCTTATAGTTTTGTTGAAACAGATAAAATGTTTATGGGAGAGTGGTTGGCCAGAATGTTATCTCAACTCCCCTGCTTTTTAAATGATTATGAGATCATGATTTAATGATTGCTTAAGGTATGAAATTGGCAGTCACCATACTATATCCACACTGCTTCTGTCATACATACACACACACACACATATATGTATATATATTATAAATTAACTGATTTAAAATATGGTTTCTTTGCTACACAGGGATTACCATGTTTCAAAAGCGAAGCAAAAAACTTTAAATTTAATTATTCCAAAATTTGCTTGAAGATGAAACAGAACTAATGCTTTTAATTTAACTATATAATTAAATTTGAAGTTTGACATTGATTGACATTACATTTGAATATTTGATATAATACCTCATAACACCCTTGAGTGCTTAGCCTTGGAGCAGTTAGAGTAGAGATGAACCTGTTTTAGTGGACTCAGAATTTTTAAATCTGCTAGTCTAAATCGTCTTTAAGAAGTGAGAGCAAGATCTAAAAGGTCAGCCAATCTAGCAGTGACTTCATCCCCTAATCCTCACTCTTGTTCCATATGCAGTCTCCTTTCAGGTTTTAAGTGCCATTTCAGATTATTGCATAAAATTCATAACTGAATCAATTAAGTTGTCAGACCCTTATACATCAAAACCAACGGGAGAATCCATTTTATATATATATATATATATATATATATATATATATATATAACCTGGAGATTGCATTCAAGTATGAAACAAACTCTGATAGAAGTGATGACAGAATGCTAGTCGAGAAACGATATCAGGGAAGCCCCAAAATTCCTATGACCCCAGAATTGACATCACTGAGGAAACATTCTGGTATGCAATATATATATATATATATATATATATATATATATATATATATAATTTCAGATATGACTAAAATATATATCTGTAAAAAAAAAAGTTCAACAACATTATTTACTCACTTTTGTTTATTAGACATTAAATTATATCACTTCGCTTCCTCCATAATTTATCTAAACTTTTCAGTTAACTTGTTGAATATTTAGCAGCATCTCATAAATTTAAAAATTTTGAAAAACTAATAACATTTTTACCTTTGTTCGTAAATACTTGCTGCAAAATAAAATCCTCATATTTGTCTTGGTAAAGTCCATCAGAGGACAAAATGCATTGGCAAAGATAAGTTTTCCTTTTGTCTTTATATATATATATATATATATATGATGAAATATACTTTTATGGTATGCTATATTTATGGGAATTTATCAGGAATAGAGCATATGTAAATATAAAAGTGGACACATGGCCCAGTGGGTAAAAGCGTTTGTTGGACCCAGTGACTTGACCCAAAGAATTGTGAGTTCAGTACCTGGCTATATCAGTGGTGAATAAAAACTTAGAGAGTTGATTTAAAGGAAGATAACTGAGACATCTGGAAGAGGCATGGTATGTAGAACTAGAACAATTTACCCCGGTGGACGGGATGAAGGGTTCAGTTGGAAATTCCAATTGCCTGAAGAAGGCCAGAGTGTACAATAGCCAAGACGTTGTGAACATGACAATAAAGATGAGAAAAACAATCCAAACAATATAAATAATCTAAATAAAAGTGGACATTGATGTCAACACCTAGTGCTAGTCTGTTTCATGCTTAAATGCAGTCTTCAGGACTAAAGATTGTGTTTAAGCATGAAATAGACTGTTACCACTAGGATGTTGATCTCAATGTCCACTCATCTGCCATCCATTTTACATTTTCTTTCTAATTCTAAATAATTTCCTTAAAACTTCCTCATTGCTTACATGCTCCATTCATGGTATTCTCTGCTATCTTCTCTTGGACGACATTTTCATTATTTCTTCTTCATCTGTGTGTTCATCTTGTGTAGTTTTTACATGTCCACACATTGAGAGCGCTTCTCCTGGCTGAGAAAAAAATTGGTGTTATATAGCTCTCCCATTCCCAGACTATTGGCTAATACCTGCCCAGTATCATTCATATGTAAATAGCACCACCTACTCAGCGTGGGTCTGGGACTGGTGGAGCTATATAATACCAGTTTTTTTTTCTCAGTTGAAAGAAGTACTCTCAACGTGCAAAAACCAGACAAGACAAACGCAAGCTATTTTGGTGTTTTTTATTGGACTGACTTGATTCTTTGTTACAATCTGTTAAGAAATAGATATATTTTCCTCTTATGGACATATTTTTACTGTTGAACCCAAAATTTTCAAAATAATATTCCTGTTTCTCAAGTTTTTTTTCAGTGATATTTTATTAACTTTTCAAAAAATAAGTTATATGAATTTGCTACAATATTTTTATTTTTAATTTTGTTTTTATTAAAACTTTCTCATTACTTACACACTGTTTTACTCCTTCTGTAGATCCACATCGATGTTGCCTCAGGTCTTCTTGTCCTCTGTTTCCTTCATTAAACAATCAGCCGTTATGCTAAGACTTTAATTCTTTGTAGATTTCCATTGGATGAATTCCGGAAGGTTGGACATTGGGAAGTCGACCCTCTTTCTTCTCGTAAACGAGGTGATATTTTCAGCTGTCCTGTACTGACAAAGTCTCTTCAAATCAAGGTTTGATTATTTTTTCCTTCTTTCAAATTTGTCTGTTTTTCTGCGTTTATATTTGTTATAGAGTAGTTTCACAATGGAGGCTTGTATTTCACTCAGTTGATCCTAAAAAGGTTCGACGTACAAAACATTAGGAACTTGTTATAATAAATAGTTAATGACGCAGCAATCTAGTTGTGGTGGCTGATGCTTTAATGTCCGACATCGACTGACTGACCAACTCACTGAGCTACTCCGCAACTGCTACTACTATTACTACTTATTATAGGTGGGAGAGTTTATTAACTATAGAATAGGTGTGTTCCAGTATAAAAATATTCTCCAAGAGCAGCAACTGGGCAAGATTCCAGTAGAAGAATGTGTATAGTTTATTACTGAAATCTCTGTCTCTTCACTTGAACCAGCAGCATTGCTAGAGGGGTGGGACAGTCCACCCTGGGTGACACTTTTATGGAGGCAGCACTTTTGAGTCAGTATTGAAATAAACGTGGTTTTAATGTCAGGACCCTCTTCATAGTTGAAAGACCTTTTTGATTTTGAATAACTTATGATAAACTACAGCAGTGAGGCCTCTGATCAGGAGATTGGAGATGTTGAGGAGCATGGAACCACCTCATAATTGCTGTTGTTCACAGGTCCACCCTAACTCAAGGTGGTAGCACCCGTTAGGGTCCCAGCTATGGGCAAATAGTGAACCCCTAAACAAAAACAAAACACTATGAAAGTATGAAAAGTACATTTTATAGTAGTACCAGCAATACATTTTATATAAAAAATTACCAACAATATTTCTTTATAGTAAAATAGCCAATAATATCTAAATTATGAAATTACTTCAAAATCTCAAGAAAATTAAATTTCAGCATTAAATGACCAATAAGGACTTGATAAACATTATCTAGTGATATATTCAGGGCTGTTTAATTATTGTTGACAATGTGAAATCTGTGAATGGAGCCAGGGTGTATTCTTTTAATGCTACAACATGCCTGTGTGTGTGTGAGAGACACATCTTGGTTGTTGTTATATAAATTTCAGTTATTTTCTATGACAGCAGTTCGTTTGAGGGTATGCATTATTCTTTTTTGTCTTTTGGGCCTGTCTATATATATATATATATATATATATATACATACATACATACATACACACTGTGGGTGGGGGATAGTCATACACAATTTTTTTTTTAATTTATTGCATTTCCAACTAATGAATAAATATACTTTTTATATAATTAACTGTACACAGATACATAACTAAATATGCATAGAAAATGGAAAAAAAATTGATTTAATAGAAATAAATCCAATTTATCCATTTTAATGGGTGAAAAAAGTATTCGTACAGTACAAAAAGAATACATAATCTTCATTTTATACTTTGTAGCCATTATTCACTTCTACAGCAACCAACCTCTTCTAGTTCTCAATTAATGATTTGCAAATTTTAGTTGGTATTTTGTTCCATTCTTCTTTGCATGTGGTCTTCAGATCCAGGATATTTGTTGGAGCTCTCAACTGGATTTGAATTTTCAAATAATGTCACAGATTAGGTTTAAATCTGGGGACTGACTTAGCCATTTCAGAATATTTACATTATTTTCAGCAAGCCATTTCTTCATAGATTTTTGGAGTGTGCTTAGGATCATTATCTTGTTGGAAGATCCAGCCAGGAAGAAGTTCAAGATTTTCAATTGAAATCATTAAATTTGTTTCCAAAATATTTTGATATGCTATGGCATTCATTCTACTATCTATTACTGATATGTTCCCAGTATCTTTTGCAGAAAAACATCTCCAAATGTAGTTTCTTTAAGCATACTTGGCTTCTGACCCCTACAAATATGAAAGTGCACCTTGTCAGTGAGCTTCTGTCTGTTGATGATGCAACATTTGTAATTCCCCCAAATTTTTTGGGAACTTGAAGTCAGATGGAAGACCTTCCTATCTGCTTTCTATCTTTACTGACCAGAGAGAATTGAAAACAGTCCAAGATTTAACCTACCTGGGTGGGAATGGAGGTCATATCTTCTGGCACAAACAAAAGAGACAAACAGTCTACACAAAGTCAAATATTTTGACAGGCTGTATAAACATGTCTTGGGAATTATGAACTCTTGTTGAATAAAACAGTAAAAAATCTGACAAAGATGTCATATTGATCAACATCGTACATAAATTGAGTTAGTGGAGTTGACAACATATCAATATTTTGTTGGGTCATATGCTGTTGAAATCAACCATTTTGTTTGATTTGATAAACATTGTTGAATCGCTGATAGGTAAATATCAATTATTTATATCTGATTCTATAAACATTTACTTGGTTCAAGAAAAGGGAAACGCTGATAGATTATACTTGAGTTTATAGGTCATTTATACTTGAGACAATAGGTAAATTATTGAGTCCATTGGATGTTTATATATGAGTTAATAGCTAAATAGTGGGTATTTATACACAAGTCCATAGGTGAATATTGGACATTTATATATGAACCCATATGTTACATTGATCATTTATGCATGGTTTCATAGGAAAACACTGGACATTTATACACAAGTCCATAGGTGAATATTGGTCATTTGTGCACAAGTCTAGTGGTAATTTATTAGATCTTTATAAGTGTTTTCTTGGTTATGGGACAACTGCTCCCTGGACAACTACCCCAACAGAACAACTTTGAATATTTCCATCCGAATATATGGAAATTTCTTGAATTGTTGAAGAGGGGTACAGACACTGGCCAGCATGTGTCGAGATAGATGCAACAGGCAGTGTTGGTGTAGAAGCGATAGATGGAAACAGGTAGAATCGGTATAGCAGAGATAGATGCAAATGGGAAGATTTGGCAATGCAGAGATAGAAGCAAACAAGCGGAGTTGGCAGAGCAGAAATAGATGCAAATGGGCAGAGTTGGTGGATCCAGGACTGACATAATCGGTTACATTTGGCAGGCAGATACAGATGCAACCAAACAGAGTTGGCAGGCAAAGATAGACACAAACAAGCAAAGTTGGCCAGGCAGTGAGAGATGCTAACAGGTAAAGTTGGCTGGTCAGGGATAGATGTAAACTGGAAGAGTGTGTGTAGCATAGTTAGACATGGGCTCAAACTGGCAGAGATAGACACAAAGTGGAATTGAATTATCCAGGGAGCAATTGTATGGGAGCATTTCTCTTGATAATATTTTGATATGGTTTGAAGGTTTTATATATATATATATATGTGAGCAAATATATAGAAAAATAGAAAAGAACCGTTAGGTTAATAATCCGAAGTTCTTTAGTATTTTTGTTTTTATTTTTAAAAAACGGTGCTCAATACACAAGTAGAGCCTAAATTATAATTTATTTTTTAAAAATATGATTCCATCGCTACAGAAGAGTTCCCATGTTTCAAAAGCAGAAGCTAAAAACTTCAATTAACTTAAAATTTTGAGCTTCTGTTTTTGAAAAACTTCAATTAAATTGAAATTTTGAGCTTCTGTTTTTGAAACATGAGCACTCTTATGTAGAGATGGAATCATATTTTTAAAAAATATATATATATATATATCTGAGCGCTTTCAGCTATTTTATTAGACGTTTCATTTATTATTTTTTATTCTTAACTGAATATGTAGATTTTTTTGTATATCTATCGTGATGGGAATGTTTTGTTATTTTCCAAACATGGTCTGCACTTTGTGGCCATGTTCATAGTTGATATTATTGAATATTGATATTATCGGCTTTTTCTTTTTTATTATTAAGGCTTCCATTATTTTTAATCTTTTTTTACATGTCGATGAGGTTAGCTAGTGTGGGGAGGATATATCCAGAAAATATTGTTACAGAATCTAAACCCACTAATTTGATGAAAATATCACTGCATGAACTTGCAATGAAAGCTAATCAGTGATTTTCAAAGAAATTTTTCTTTTGTTTAAAATATGAAAAAGATTTTACTTTTCAACAGTTGTCAGAAAAAAAAAAAATACAAACTTACATTTTGTTTTTTGACATCGTCTGTAAGTTGAATGTATCTCAGTGCCAATTTGGTAAGGTCTGTAGCCAGTGCTGCTTCAGCGAAGAAATCTCCATTCATCAGATATTGACGAAGAGGAGGTCTACACACAAAAAGACATTAAATTTTTATATATATATATATATACATACATACATATATACACACACACACATTAATGCATGTTTCATTAAATAATATAGACAAGTTTTGTCTATTTATTTTAAGTAAGTTCCTTTCATATTGTCTGATAAGCTTAATCACATTATCGTTGAAGGACGAAAGGAAAACACCATATTAATACATGTTTAAATCCAATCTAAGCTTTCGGCTTACATATGCCATTATCAAAGGTGACAATTTCAATAAATCAAACAACACATGGATGAAACAACAATGATAGTCTGCCTTGCTGCATGAAAAATTTCAAAGTAACAACAAACTCCTATATATGAGACCTGGAAGTGAAAATCTCGTCGCAGCTCATGATGTCACACATGACCATGCAAAAGTGAAAAACAAGAAGTATTAAGTATGGGAAGACGTTGGTATAAACCAATGGCTTCTGTTATCAATTATAGGCATTTAAGGATATCCTTAATACTTAATACTTGCCTATAACATCTACTCCTCCCTAGCTATTGTGTTGATGGCCAAACCAAGAGTCTTTCACAGGAACTAGCTTAAATGCTGCTTAATAGGGTGGCTTTTAAGCTAGTTTATAATAAAACATGCACTGCAATTTTGGATACAAAAGGAAAATAAGAATTACTCCTCTTGAACCATGAAAGCAACAATAATGGCTAGTATAATATATTAACATATATTTTTAACCTCACATATTCTGGCAACCCTGGACCTGTGGGAGCAGAGGAGTTGCTTCGACACAAACACACACATACACTGTACTTCATATATAAGATATATATAATATATATATTTATTTAGACTTTATAGAATGTGCGATGGCTAAATTGTCGCCATTTTATGTTTTTAATTTTGCTTATGCATGTTGTTTGTTTTTGATTTTGTTGACTGCAATGCATAATAGGATCAGTTGGGCACTGACTGTGAGAAAAAGAGCACCATGACGTAATTCACTCTATCAGAGATTTGGAATCAGCATGCAATCCTATTTGCCAGTTGCTCCAATACAACAAAATGCACAAAAATTCATAACTTTATTTAGTCTTTTGTTCTAATCTCAGTTTGAATTAATTCCCCTTGATAACTATCAGTTTTTGTTCCCTCTGCTGTAACTAGGTATTGAACTCACAACATTTTGGGTCAATATTCACGATAGTGATGTCAATAAAATGCAATATTCACGATAGTGATGTCAATAAAATGCAATATTCACGAGAGTGATGTCATTAAAATGCAATATTCATGAGAGTGATGTCATTAAAATGCAATACTCATGAGAGTGACGTCATTAAAATGCAATGAGAGTGATGTCATTAAAATGCAATATTCAAAGGAGTGATGTCATTAAAATGCAGTATTCAAAGGAGTGATGTCATTAAAATGCAATATTCATGAGAGTGATGTCATTAAAATGCAATATTCAAGGGAGTGATGTCATTAAAATGCAATATTCATGAGAGTGATGTCATTAAAATGCAATATTCATGAGAGTGATGTCATTAAAATGCAATATTCAAGGGTGTGATGTCATTAAAATGCAATATTCAAGAGAGTGATGTCTTTAAAATGCAATATTCAAGGGAGTGATGACATTAAAATGCAATATTCAAGGGAGTGATATCATTAAAATGTAGTATTCAAGAGAGTGATGCCATTAAAATGCAATATTCACAATAGTGATGTCATTAAAATGCAATATTCAAGAGATGATTACACAACAATCTACAAAAGTTCCACTGTGCAACATGCACAAATAACAAGTAACATAAACAATTTTTCGTTCTTGATTTGTAGAGCTGTGTGTGTGTTCACACCAATCATTATACTTTATTGTAGTATTGATTAACAAGGCAATCTATATTTCTAATTTAATTCATTATCATTGTGGTGTTAAATAACAACATTTAGCATAACATGCAAACTTTATTTTTCAATAACATACCTTATATGGTACTTTTTGCAGTGTTAAACAATGAAACATTTAAAAATACCATAAAATCTTTATTTTTATTTAGAGAATAACAAAGCATAAGACCCCCACATACATAATTACAACCCTTCAAAAGGACTATGATCATCACCATTTGATACAAACACCTCATCACAAACATTGTCATTTACAGTTTCGTCATATGGGTCCCAGTCAGTCATTTTATACAACGGATATCAGATAAAATCATGAAAATTTACCTAGATTTGGGGTCTTGCCTCATGTATAAGTGAAAATATGGAAATCCATAGTACCTCTATGTTTTTTAACATTTCTCAAGACCAAATACAACTACAATTCTTCTTTCTTTCTTTCTTTCTTTTATGTGACTGCAGGGTCCTGTCCAATTTCCACAGGAAAGAGTCACTGTCGACCGTTATGAAGCAAGATCTTCAATGTTTACGGAGCTAGAGTCACAATGGCTACTTCCACTTGAAGAAGGAAATGTTGTTTCAGATTTGGCTGTTACAAAAAGTAAGTATTTTACATATAATTACTTTGTTCTAGTGTCTGATAATAAACTACATCTGGCAGCAAGTCAGGAGGTTTTGAGGAGCATGGAACCACCTCTTAATTGCTGTTATTCCCAGGTCTACCATGACCTTGGGTGGTAGTACCTGTTAGGGTCCCAGCTATTGGCAAATAGTTAACCCCCAAACTGTGGCCAAAACACTATGAAAGTATAAAAATAGATCTTTACAGTAAAAATACCAGCAATACATTTTTGGAAAAATAAAAAAATTACCAACAATACATTTGACTCTTGACAAAAACCCTCTTTACAAAAGTACATCAATGTAACCTGATCTACAAATTGATTTCTTTCAAAGCATACATATTCTATTTATATGAATCTATCCTGAAGATCTTGTTGGCATTAAATGACCCATTGAGGTTGACATGCTGTAAAACAAAATAAAACATTTTAGCTATCACCAAAAAGGAAAAGAAAAAAAAATGTGATACCTAAAGTTTACAATGAATTTTTAAAATAAAAAAAAAAATACTTTAAAGTTTGTTTTTTTTTTAGTTTTAATTTTAAGCTAATAGATTAAATTTAATATTTCCAGTAAGTAAAATACTTTGCTGTATTTCAAATGGAATTTACATTGATTGGAATTATTTTTTCTAATCATTAGTAAAATCGATGAAATCATCCATATTAACAAATGCAATATAATTCTTTTTATTAAAAAAAAATCTTTCAAAAATAAAATATAATTTTCCAAAATATTATTTGAGGAAAATTAGTCAATTTAAAGTTTGATTAATTAAATATTAAACAAATTAAATTAAATATTATAAATATATAATATTTAATACAATATTTATAAATTAAATATTAAACAAATATTATTTACTTTTAGTTTAAAATACTGTAGAAAAGCAATTTTTTAAGATGAAGGTGTGTGTTTTTATGTGGTATTGACAGATTTAGTGACAACTTGATGCTTGATTTATCTGTTATAAAATTACATGATGAATAGAAATATAAACACCTTTTTTTTAACTACCCAATAATCTTTAAGATTTCAAATATTTTAAGCATTCTAATATTTTATTGAATTTTAAGTTTCATAGTTTTACTTATGATGAAACTTGTTGAAAGTTACCAATAATTTTTAAATTTACTATTAGTTAATACTCTTATTTTCTAATAAATTCATGTCTGGACTTTTGTATTTACAAAAATCAGCACATTTTTGCACACAAAAAAAATTCAAATTTCTTTTTAAAATACTAAAGATTGATGAATTGTAGCATACCTACAGACAGTAATGGGTATGTCCCCATTCACATAATCACAGTAGTAAATACTGTATGTTGGTCTGCAGTTGGAGATTTGTTTCCAGCTGTGCTGGTCAAACACTCTGCCTCCGGGCAGAGAGGATCCCCTGATGAGGCTGTGTCAAAGGGCAGATTCTTGTCTCAGGAAACAGCTATCCGATCCCATTTTATACAGGGTCTATAGGGAATTTTTGGCCGAGCATACGGGCTTGGATACCCCACATTAAATTCGGCCTTGTGCCACATCTGACTGCGTGGGGCGGTTGGTAGATATCCTGCAGTTGGAGATTCATTGTGGAATCCACATGATTCACTTTTAGCAGTTGACTACTTCTTCTGCGCACTGCTGGCAAATCTTATATGTGTTGTTCTTTTCCTAAGTATTATTGTTCATTACCAACCTTTGTTTCATTATTCTATTCAGTAACCTTCCCTATGTTACAACATGTAGTAAGGTTTATAATTTATGATTAGTAAATAAGGTTTTTATTTAATAACAATATCACTACTTTAAATTAATACAGAATTTTAAAAGGTTTAAAATTTTATAAATTATTTTAATTGGCGGAAATCTATCAGAAAGTGGAAAAAAGGTTTTTGTGATGTGTTTCATTTTTTAGAATATCATTAGATTAAATTTATGTTTGTGTGACTACACATATCCATGAATAAGGGCTGCTGGGAATTTAAAATTTTTTTAATATATAATCTAGCTGAATTCATTTAGATTCTTTTTATTACTTTTGTTAGTAGATATCCCATATTGTGTTAACAGAAGATCTGCTAGGAATGGTGAAATGTAAGAGCCAGAGTCCAAATTTACTATGTGTTATGTAGAGTGCGAAAGGTTTTTCTTCCTCCGCATGAATTCGAATCCCTCGTCGCTAAGTTGTTATGTAGTGGTTTCACAGTGGAGGCTTGTATTTGTACTAAGTCGATCCTAAAATAGGTTCGACGTACAAAACGTTAGGAATTTAATATAACAGGTAATGATGCAGTAATCTAGTTGTGGTGGCTGATACTTTAATATCCGACTAACAGTTGTCCAACATCGACTGACTGACCAACTCACTGAGAGACTGACTTGTTACTCTTACTGCCCCTACTTATAGGTGGGAGAGTCTATTAACTATAGAATAGGTGTGTTCCACTATAACACTATGGATACCCTTGCAATCAAGGGACAATTATATGTTTAAAAAAATTAATTTAAAATTCCCAGCATCTCTAGTTCATGCACATGTGTGGTTGCCTCACCATAACAAATTTAATCTGATGAAGTCCTAAAGGACAAAAAACATCCCATGAAAACTTTTTTTTCCCATTGTCATACATTCCCCACCCCCAATATTATTCTTGATATATAAGAATTTATATACCATTATCTGTATTATAGTGGCAGGTAGCAGATGCAAAAAAAAAATAATATTAATAATATTTTCTAAAAAAGAAACATAAAAAATCGCATTCATATGTGAATAAGTCCTGGAAGTTTCATTAAAATGAAACAATTATTTGATTTTTGCAAGAGTTTCCAAATCAATTTGTTTTTCAGACCAGAAATGTGAGATTTTTAACAAAAGTTTTGAAGGTTCTCAAATTAATTTTGACAACAAAAAATCGTTTGGTCTTTCCTCTTAATAATAACACAATGACTTTGATGTTAAAAATGTTTTTTATTAAGTTTCAGGCATCTTTTCATCATGGATCTTCATTTTTTTTAGTGAATCTTTAGAGATAACTATTTTATTCCAACACTTGTCTCCATTCATGACCACTGACAATCCCTTTCTTCCTGATTTTTCTTCCTGATTTTACATATAATGCCCATTTTATAGTAATGCTTGCATTTATTAGACAATGCATTTCCATTTTATACATATAATAGCAATATTCCATTATCAGTAATGCCCTATTCTATCAGTAATGCTTGCATTCATTCCAGACCACTGACAATCCCTTTCTTCCTGATTTTCAATACATTCCTATGGTAAAATTATCAGTCTACTATAGATTCTGCTAACATGGCTTAACATATTGATGTGGAAATTATGGAGGTAAAAGAAAGATAGACAGGTTTACTGGTTGCATATCAAGAAACAATGAACAATTGCTTTGATGTTGGGTAGGGATGGACAGATAGGTAAATATTGTTATAGATGAAAGATTTTTTATGGAAATATAGAGCAAAAGAAAGATAAAGAAGAGGATGCAGCTGAAAACTGTTTGTCTCTTAAATGAATTCATGTTTATATAACCTTTTAGATAAATAAGTAATGGATAAAGGAGAACATGAAATGAAAGAAGAATGAAAGTGAGTAAGAAAGTTAGACCAAAATGAAAAGAAAACCAATTGAGAAAAAAAAAAAAATATATATGGTTTTATACACAAGGAGAAGAGATGGAGACATAAGAAAGACAATGAAAGGAGATTAGGGAAAGTATTGTCATCCATTATCATTAATTTTTGACCACTATTTACTTTCATCTTCCTTTTTCATTACATGAAGCATTGTCAGCCATTATTATTAATTTTTGACTGGTATTTTTTTCATCTTCATTTTTATTACATGAAGCATTGTCAGCCATTATTATTAATTTTTTACTAGCATTTACTTTCTTCATTTTTATTACATGAAGCATTGCAATATTCTCACTACCATAGATTACCATCCTGATGTAATTATCAAGAAAATGCACCGAAAGATTTAAAATGAAAGTCAAACACGTCAAATTTAATAATAATTCTTAGTAATTATGGTTATTAAATTATTTAATATTCATATTTTCCATTTGTTTTTGTAGGTGTGCAGCATTATGAAACAAAGGTTGATATGATCCATGTTGCCACCTCAAATCCGATTGCTGTGTACACTATGAGTGAAAAATCTCCTACAGCCACTTTGATTGACCTTTACAATTTGTTCCCATCTGTTGGAATGTCCTATCGACCCAAAGTGAGACTTGTCTCATTGTTATCTCCCTTGGATGACACCATTATCCTCCATGAAGCTTATGTAAGTATTAATGTTTTCAATATCGTATTTTTGTGAAAAATTCAGCTCAGTTAAAATGATTAAGCTATTTAGTAATTATTTACAACTAAGTTTATTTGGATACTGAAAATACAAATTTGTTACTGAAATACTGATTTACTACTGAAAATACTAATTTTTTACTAAAATACTGATTTGGTAAAGAAAATAATAATTTGGTGCTGAAAATTCTGATTTGGTACTAAAATACTAATTTGATACTAAAAAACTGATTTAGTGCTAAAATACCAATTTGTTACTAAATTACTGATTTGATAAAAAGTACTAATTTGTTACTAAAAATTTTATTTGACTAAAATGTTGATTTGTTGCTGAAAAGACTGATTTGATATTGAAAACACTAATTTGGTACTAAAATACTGGTTTGAATTTAGTTACCTGCAATGTTCTCATCGTTGGATATGATTTTTGAAGTGCAGCTTTGTTGATGGTTAAAAAGGGGAAAATGCAATCAGTAATGTGAGTTATAGATGTGGGTTACAGCTTTTTGTAAAAGATGAAGTTGACATTGAGAATTTTTGAAGAAATCAAATTTTGTATTTTCAGAAGGAATAAATTTCAACACATGAAGGAATTTTACATATATACTGGGCGTAACGGCAAAATTGTTCAATTGTTAGATTAAGAAATGATTAAATATATCTTACTGGAATTCTGTGATGTTTTTATAACACTATTAAACTCTACATTGAGCAATAAGAATGTATAATTACTCTTCAAACTTAACACAAGAATTGTGATGAAATTGATCATAATCAAAAATGACATGTTCATTATTAATTAATCATAGCACAGGATTGGAATCTCATGAAGTATTGAAATAAATATATATATAATATATATATATATATATATATATGTATATATATATATATCTAATACTAGGATCATTTTCCAACTTATTCAAGATGATATCTCCCCTCTCTAACCTTCTAACCTGCTGTAACCAGGTGCCTCAGAGGTTTTACGTGCAATTTCATTTTCAAATCTTTTTTTGCTGCTCTTTGGGCTGTCATATCTGAAACTCCTCTCTCACATGCCAAACCTCTTATGGATTGAGTTGGATCTTTTCTAATTGATCACTTTAGCTCTAAGTTGAAATGATGATCCCTCTTCTTGTAACCTCCTGATCCAGTTTTGCTATCTACTGTTCGCACTATTTAAACTTATTCACTGTTCTCTTGATGAGCCTAGAATGGATGATTCTTGAATGGAAGCCAGAGTATGAATGTTGGTACCATTACTGAAGGCCTGAATGATTTTTTTCCTCTCATGATTGCCTATTTAAGACAGTGGGGCTAACACAAAACGATTTTAACCTGTTCTCTTTCTAGCTGAATAACTCAAAGGGTTTTTCAGTGATTCTTATGACAAATGGTGTTAAGATGGCTAAACATCTTATTTGAAAACCTGGAAAAATGAAACTCAATTCATTTAGTATTTTTTTTATATTAAACATTTTGTAGGATGGTTAATAATTGCATGCTGTTACATGATTTGGACAATTTTGCCGTTACATGATTTGGACAATTTTGCTGTTACATGATTTGGACAATTTTGCCGTTACATGATTTGGACAATTTTGCCGTTACATGATTTGGACAATTTTGCCGTTACATGATTTAGACAATTTTGCTGTTACATGATTTAGACAATTTTGCCGTTACATGATCTGGACAATTTTGCTATTACATGATTTGGACAATTTTGCCGTTACATGATTTGGACAATTTTGCCGTTACATGATTTGGACAATTTTGCTGTTACACCCAGTATATACATTTGTTTCCTAGTACTCCAAACATTTTTTTGTAGATACACATGTTTGAGTAGACACCCTGTTTTTGTTTAAACACAATAAATTATGTGTACCAGTCTGTGCATTTGAGAGAGAATAAAGAAAACATGCTCTCCAGCAGTGTTCAGAACTATGTCCTCCTTTGTAGTATTAACCATTGCCTGATCCCGTCTCTTTTAGACAACTTGGGCACGGAGAACTTCAGAGCCCAGCAAGTTCCAATTATACTTTTAAGAAATGTGAATCTTTTTATTTAGATCTTTTGAGAGGGCAATATCTGGTTTTTTTTTTATTTTCTTATCTGTAAAAAAAAAAAAAGGAATTTTTAATTAATTAATGGATTTTATTTATAACTGGCATTATTTCTTGTTTCTTATAAAAAAATGCATTGAAAATCAGGAAGGAAGGGATTGTCAGTGGTCAGGAATGAATGATTACTGATAGAATTATCATATGTATAAAAATGCATTTGATAAAATAAAAAGGCATTGAAAATCAGGAAGAAAGGGATTGTCAGTGGTCAGGAATGAATGCAAGCATTACTGATAGAATAGGGCTATCATATGTATAATGTAAATGCATTGCTAATAATTTTACTATAAAAATGCATTGAAAATCAGGAAGAAAGGGATTGTCAGTGGTCAGGAATGAATGCAAGCATTACTGATAGAATAGGGCTATTATATGTATAATGTAAATGCATTGCTAATGATTTTACTATAAAAATGCATTGAAAATCAGGAGGAAAGGGATTGTCAGTGGTCAGGAATGAATGCAAGCATTACTGATAGATTAGGGCTATCATATGTATAATGTAAATGCATTGCTGATAATTTTACTATAAAAAGGCATTGAAAATCAGGAAGAAAGGGATTGTCAGTGGTCAGGAATGAATGCAAGCATTACTGATAGAATAGGGCTATCATATGTATAATGTAAATGCATTGCTAATAATTTTACTATAAAAATGCATTGAAAATCAGGAAGAAAGGGATTGTCAGTGGTCAGGAATGAATGCAAGCATTATTGATAGAATAGGGCTATTATATGTATAATGTAAATGCATTGCTAATGATTTTACTATAAAAATGCATTGAAAATCAGGAGGAAAGGGATTGTCAGTGGTCAGGAATGAATGCAAGCATTACTGATAGAATAGGGCTATTATATGCATAATGGAAATACATTGCTAATGATTTTACTATAAAAATGCATTGATAATCAGCAAGGAAAGCATTGTCAATGGTGAAAATATCATGCAAATCTTTTTGGCAGAATATTTTTATTGTATGCATGACCCTAAACTTTCTATTTTCAGTTGATGATTATTTTAAAATTTCAGACCAATGCTGTGATGAGTATTAACTATAACACTGGTGAAGTGGCTCGCCTGATGTCTGCATTCTTACCAGAGGTGGTAGTTGAAAGGAGACAGTTTCTACGTTATGGTGCCAAAACAAAAACTGCGGTAATTTTTTTCTGCTTCTTATTTATTCAACAGGTTTATATGAATTGATACTTTTTATATACTGATTATTCATACAAATTAATATTATATATCCATATTTATACAAATTAACACTCTATACCCATATTCATACAAATTTGATATACTGATAACCCTGTACATTTTCATGATATATGGATAGCCATGCAAATTTACATATTGATACTTTTGCAAATTTATATTATATAGTAAAATTTATGCAAGTTTATATTATATAACAGTTCCCATGCAAATTGGTAACATACCAATTCTCATATAAATTTATATTATATACCAGTAACCATGCAAATTTACATGTCACTCAGTCACTATATTTGATACATGCTTGGGTGATCATGTCTCTTTCAATTCATGACTGACTAGGTAGAATATTTTCCTGCAGTTGGTTGCTATTTTGTACTGTGGTAGACTGGTTACCAACCAAGACTAAAGAACCCAGTCTGTCCTGCTATTCAACCCATAGCTGGGGTGAGAAGAGACGGATTCATACCTTTCTCAAGGGTATTTGCACGTAAGTGAATATAAGGAACCCAACTAGAATTTGAACTTGTCTCTCTGATTTCTCATCCTGAACCATTATCCATTACACCACCCACACATCCAGTAGTTATGCAAGTTTATAACCCCTGACTGAAATTTTTTTCCCCTTGAATTAAATTTAAATTTGAACAAGGGAATAACTTCTATCCAAAATATAAAAGGAGAAAGCTAGAAGATGGAGGTCACATTAGCAAATCATTGAGTAATATTAAAATGCATCATTTTTTCTCCACAAATTATAATAATGATTTAAAATCAGTCATCATTTTCTTACAAAAAAAATGTATGACACACAGCAAGGTGCAGGTAATTCGGCTAGTTATCAATATATATGTAAATTTGTAGTGTAATTTGCCTCCCATGGATCATGGAGTTTAAAATGATCCCGACTGTGGTCATATGATAATATTTGGTAGTTTTTGATGGAGATATTATTGAGGAATTGGAGAGCTGAGTTCAAATTCCAGTTGAGTTCGTTATATTCACTTACATGCAAATACTCTGAGGAAAGTTACGAATCCATCTTTTCTCCCCGACCAGCTATGGGTAAATAGCAGGACAGACTGAGTGCTATAGCCTTGGGTGGCAACTAATCTAGGAGAAGGAAAACTCAGAATTCAAAATCTCCAACTATGGATAAATAGTAGGGTAGACTGGGCCCTTCAGCCTTGAGTAGCAACCAGTCTAGAAGCTAAACTTTGAATTCTATGATCTCGTGTGTGTGTGTATGTGTGTAGTCAGTCAACTTGCTATATATGTGATGGGGCCTGTCACTGGATCTAACTAACACCTTTATCCACTATGCCATGTGTCCTTGCCAAAGGGTGTGAGTTCAATACCTGGTTAAGGCAGTGGAGAACTTGGAGAGGGGAATTAACAGGTGATAACTGATAATTGACATCCATTAAACATGGCACGTGGAACTAGAACAGTCTACCCCAGTGAGCGAAATAAAGTGTTCAGTTCGAAATTCCAACCACCTGAAGAAGGCCGGAGTGTACAATGGCCTAAATGTTGCCATAAATATGGCAACAAAGATGAGGACAATAATTCGAATAATGTAAATAGTGTACCTTAATAGTCATCTTTCTGTTATTAAATTTTGAAACAAATATATTTTTTCTACTATTACAACAAATATGAAAACAATAACAAAATAACTATTATCAAAATCAGAAAAAAACCAAGATTTTTTTATGGCAATTCTCCCAATACAAGCCTCAAGAGCCACACAAGGTAGAGGGTTACTGAATGAGGTTGTTTTATGGATCTAAAAATTATAGATTATGAGGATATGTAAAATAAATAATTGTTGGCCCTAGACTTGAAGACATCAAGATTGTAGTGATCAGGAAAGCATCCACTCAGGAGTCTGTTCCACAAAGCAATGGCTCCTAGAAAGAAACTGCTCAAATGGAATTTCCTTCTTAGCAAAGGAATGTGAAGAGAGTGAAAGTGAATGATTTTAAATAAATTACCAGTTATTAAAATTAGATGTAATTGTAAGTTCTATGCTAACAGCTTCTTTTCTTGCACTTCTCACTTGTGGAAGTCTCTTTTGGCTTCTTGATTCCCGGTCAAAGTAGCTTCCTTGTGCCTTTTTCTATAAATATTTCCATGGAAAATGTTCTGATAAATTCTCTTCTATGGTACCTAGACTTTATGAATTTAAGTGTATTACTAGATTAACGGCAAGATTTCATCATTTTACAGTCAAAATGGTGAGATGTTTGTGACCATATTCCCTCAGTCAAAAGTAAGTTCCAACGGTTTCTTCCTGCAAAACTACTGCTCTGTGGAACTCCCAAGAGGATGTTTCTGACCATATTTCAGTCAAAGTAAGTTCCACCGAATAACTTCTTCCTCAAAAACTTTGACTCCCAAGAGGATCTTCTGAAAATTTTAAATGCATTTTTTGCAAAAACTGCTCTGTGGAACTGACTCCCAAGAGGATGTTTCTGACCATATTCCCTCAGTCAAAAGTAAGTTTCCTTGTTCTTTTGACTCCCAAGAGGATGAGCATTCCCTCAGTCAAAAGTAAGTTCCAATTTTTCCTTTAGGTTGTTTCTGACCATATTCCCTCAGTTAAAGTTCCATTCTCTGCAAAACTATGCTCTGTGGAACTGAATCAAGAGGATGTTTTGACCATATTCCCTCAGTCAAAAGTAAGTTCCACTCGAATAACTTCTTCCTGCAAAACTACTGCTCTGTGGAACTGACTCCCAAGAGGATGTTTCCCTGACCATATTCCCTCAGTCAAAAGTAAGTTCCACTCGAATAACTTCTTCCTGCAAAACTACTGCTCTGTGGAACTACCAAGAGGATGTTTCCTGACCATATTCCCTCAGTCAAAAGTAAGTTCCACTCGAATAACTTCTTCCTGCAAAACTACTGCTCTGTGGAACTGACTCCCAAGAGGATGTTTCCCTGACCATATTCCCTCAGTCAAAAGTAAGTTCCACTCGAATAACTTCTTCCTGCAAAACTACTGCTCTGTGGAACTGACTCCCAAGAGGATGTTTCCCTGACCATATTCCCTCAGTCAAAAGTAAGTTCCACTTTGAATAACTTTCCTGCAAAACTACTGCTCTGGGAACTGACTCCCAAGAGGATGTTTCCCTGACCATATTCCCTCAGTCAAAGTAAGTTCCATTCGAATAACTTCTTCCTGCAAACTACTGCTCTGTGGACTGACTCCCAAGAGGATGTTTCCCCACCACTTCTTAACCTTTTTTCAAGGCTAGGGTTAACCATCTGTGGAACTCAAGAGGATGTTTCCCCGAACTGCTGTCTTCTTTTCAAGGCTAGGGTTAACCATCTGTGGAACTGATCCCAAGAGGATGTTTCAGTAACACTGCTGTCGTAACCTTTTTCAAGGCTAGGGTTAACCATCTGTTGAACTCAGTCAAGAGGTTGTTCCCCTGACCATATTCCCTCAGTCAAAAGTAAGTTCTTCTTCTTCCTGCAAAACTACTGCTCAATGGAACTGACTCCCAAGAGGATGTTTCCCCGACCACTGCTGTCTTAACCTTTTCAAGGCTAGGGTTAACCATCTGTGGAACTGACTCCCAAGAGGATGTTTCCCCGAACACTGCTGTCTTAACCTTTTCAAGGCTAGGGTTAACCATCTGTTGAACTGACTCCCAAGAGGTTGTTTCCCTGACCATATTCCCTCAGTCAAAAAGTAAGTTTTTCAATAACTTCTTCCTGCAAAACTACTGCTCAATGGAACTGACTCCCAAGAGGATGTTTCCCCGACCACTGCTGTCTTAACCTTTTTTTCAAAGGCTAGGGTTAACCATCTGTGGAACTGACTCCCAAGAGGATGTTTCCCCGAACACTGCTGTCGTAACCTTTTCAAGGCTAGGGTTAACCATCTGTTGAACTGACTCCCAAGAGGTTGTTTCCCTGACCATATTCCCTCAGTCAAAAGTAAGTTCCACTCGAATAACTTCTTCCTGCAAAACTACTGCTCAATGGAACTGACTCCCAAGAGGATGTTTCCCCGACCACTGCTGTCTTAACCTTTTCAAGGCTAGGGTTAACCATCTGTGGAACTGACTCCCAAGAGGATGTTTCCCAACACTGCCGTAACCTTTTTCAAGGCTAGGGTTAACCATCTGTTGAACTGACTCCCTTTTGACCATATTCCCTCAGGCTAGTTCCAGTTAACCATCTACTGCTCAATGGAACTGACTCCCAAGAGGATGTTTCCCCGACCACTGCTGTCTTAACCTTTTTCAAGGCTAGGGTTAACCATCTGTGGAACTGACTCCCAAGAGGTTGTTTCCCGACCACTTTTTGCTAGGGTTAACCATCTGTTGAACTGACTCCTCAAGAGGTTGTTTCCTGACCATATTTTCAAAAAGTAAGTTCCAGGAATAACTTCTTCCCAAAACTATCTCTGTGGAACTGACTCCCAAGAGGATGTTTCCCGACCACTGCTGTCTTAACCTTTTTAAGGCTAGGGTTAACCATCTGTGGAACTGACTCCCAAGAGGATGTTTCCCGATTACTGCAGTCTTAACCTATTTAAGGCTAGGGTTAACCATCTGTTGAACTGACTCCCAAGAGGATGTTTCCCCGATCACTGCTGTCTTAACCTTTTCAAGGCTAGGGTTAACCATCTGTGGAACTGACTCCCAAGAGGATGTTTCCCCGATCACTGGAGTCTTAACCTTTTCAAGGCTAGGGTTAACCATCTGTGGAACTGACTCCAAGAGGTTGTTTTCCCCGACCACTGCAGTCTTAACCTTTTCAAGGCTAGGGTTAACCATCTGTTGAACTGACTCCCAAGAGGATGTTTCCCCGATCACTGGAGTCTTAACCTTTTTAAGGCTAGGGTTAACCATCTGTGGAACTGACTCCCAAGAGGTTGTTTCCCGACCACTGCAGTCTTAACCTTTTTAAGGCTAGGGTTAACCATCTGTTGAACTGACTCCCAAGAGGATGTTTCCCCGACCACTGCTGTCTTAACCTTTTCAAGGCTAGGGTTAACCATCTGTGGAACTGACTCCCAAGAGGATGTTTCCCCGATCTCTGCAGTCTTAACCTTTTTACGGCTAGGATTAACCATCTGTGGAACTTACTCCCAAGAGGATGTTTCCATCTCTTCTTAACCTTTTTTACGGCTAGGATTAACCATTATCTTCGTGTAACGCCCCACGTGTGGGGCCTAGTAAAGGGTAAACCTTAGTTTAAAAAAAAAAAGAAATGTTGATAATTTTGAATAAGTTTTGAAATATTTTTTTTTCTTTTTTCTTTCAGAAGGATTTTGTGATGTTAGCACCAACAATTCCTGGTACAAACATTGTCACCTTTTTTGAAAAGCAAGGGTAAGTCAATCAGACACTACACAGATATGCTACATATAAATCCATGGGAATGAGGTCAAAACTTTTTTCATTTTCACATAAAAAACATAAATAATTTTTTTGATTTTTTTTCTCCTTCGACAAAATTCTCCAGTTCTGTTTTTTATCTTTATTTTCTTTTTTCATTGTAGTGACTCTGTCGTTCTTTTTGACACCATTCAGGGCCTCAGCCATCAAATTACAGTCCCTATTAACATTTGCACAATGAATTTGGTCGATACAAACAAATGGATTCTTACAGATTCAGAATCAAACCAGTAAGTAAACATTTATTTTCTCCTTCCAGGATAGAGAAAGTTCGTTCTGTGAACTTCGAGACATGATAGAGTAATTGTTAGCAGCTCCTGTTGAAGAATCAGACAGCCAAGTTCGTTATATTTACTAATACCCTGTGAAAGGTATGAATCACTTCTCCCCCCAGCTATGGATAAAATAGCAGGACAGACTGAGTTCTATAGCCTTGGATAGCAACCAGACTAGGAGAAGGAAACTGTGAATTCAAACCAGCCTGCTGACTTGTAGGTCCTGCATCTTTAGACAAAGGCTTGAAAATGTTAACTTCTGAGATAACTAATATCCTTGTGAAAGGTATGAATCCATCACTTCTCCCCCAAGCTATGGACAGACTGGGTTGTATAGCCTTGGGTAGCAACCGGTGTAAGAGAATGAAACTCTGATTTCAAACTAGCCTGCTGCATTGTAGGTCCTGTCCAGAAGAAGATAACTTTAAAAATAAATCCACCTTGCATGTCCTTTTGAAGAAAAGAACTTCCCCCACTACTTAGAGCCACAACAGAAGATAATGGACACCATGTCCTTAGTACAATAGTTCAAATAAAACACAAGACTAGGATGTGGCATCATGCTGTGGACCCCTCTGATTTTGGACTATTTTCCCATGAGTGTATCCCCCATGGGGACTTCCGATGATAAGTTCTGTGAACATACAGTGGAGATCTGGGTTGCTCCTTTCTGTCTTTCATGATTCAAGAAATTAGTCCCCATGCCATGTTTCACTCCTTGCTAGTGCAGCTGTGTACAAAGCTTGGTAAAAGCTTGCAGCAGGACACAGGATGTTCCCAAGAACCAGAAGCAAGAAATGAAGACACAGAATTGGTTTTCAATGGCGACCTTGTCAGTAGTATTCTCTCTGGTTGTAGACACATAAGGACCCTTTGACTCTTTGTCTTGCTTAAGCTGAGTGACTGCTTTCAACTGATTGGCTAAATTCTCTGTCTCGCCCTCACCATGACTCTTCAAGTCTTCAAGTAGAAATATCTGGTTTCACTCGTGGGTTCCCACTTTGAACCCTAGATTTCAAGGTCTTTATATTCCAGTGTGGCGGACATGAGACAGAACCTGGGACGAGCACAACTAGTTGCGACTTGCCTTGTCCCGTAAAAAAGGGCCGTGATTTGCTTAGCATGTAAAGCTACTGCAGTTGAAATGAGGGAGAGAAAAAAAACACTTACCGCTCTGCCGTAATCCATCCTCGGCCAGATAACATAAAAAGAATGGGGGACTGGCATCGCATTTTTTATCCAATAAGGACGCAATGCATTATGGGACATGGACGCAATGAATTATGGGATCACAGGAAGATGCAAGGGATTATGGGTACATGAACAACTATAAAACAACTACTTTTTTCCAAGTCGTGAGTTCTTGAGGGACGTTCACGGTTGACGGCTAGAACGGGCAGTTAGTGTGATTTGGAGACAGAACTCAAGAAGGAACGACTCAAGTTTGAAATACCAGCTGAGTGAGCTTGAATTTACTCGCTGGTTACTGTTTTCTTCATTCGCCTCAAGCTATTTCGGCATATTGATTCTTCAAAATGGAAGGCAAGGTCTTTGACGTCCGTTTGATTCCAGAATTCAGCGGCGCCCCAACGGATATGCCCATTGTTGAATGGATGAAAATGTGGAATTGGTCTGCGAACTTTGTGCCATGGACAAGATTGAGCGCATCTTGCCTTTTACGACTTTTGGCGGTGCCCTTGCTGTATATAGACAACTCAGTGGAGAGCAGAGGGCAGACGGAACATATTAAACGGGCCCTTATGACTGCATCTGCCGACTGACAGATTTAATGCGTTCGACCAATTTATGGACGCGGCGTCTTCGCCTGGGGGAAACTGGATGAATTCCTGGCTGAAAATGCATCGTTTGGCGCGGCTAGTAGGAGAACCGCTACCTGATCGGTGGATGGCATGTGCATTTGTGTCAGGACTGCCACATCATGTTAGGCAGCTTCTCAAAAGCTTCTTCCAGGATGGACGACATGAATCTAGAACAGATTCTGACCCGAGCAAAGGGCTATTATGACGGATGACGAAGGGTGCCAGGTATTGGCGCGCATCCGTGAGAGCTAACGCTCAGAAGCTGAGGTTCCCCCCTGCCAAACCTGTTAGCAGAACGATTACCTGCTACAAAGTGCTCTGGACCCAACCATATGGCGAAGGATTGTACACAAGGACGTCAGGAGAGGTCAAACAGAACGCAGAGGTCTGGTCGCGACAAGCAGTGTTTTCGATGCAACGGCATTGGACACATTTCCTCAGAATGCCAGGGAAACGCCCAAGGGGAGAAGGCGTCAGCGCCCAGCCTTCTCCCGAGCAAGTAAAAACCGGAAGTTACCCACCGTACAAGTATTTGTAGATGGAGTAGAGTGCACAGCTCTAGTGGATTCAGGATGCTCACAGACGCTGGTGAGCAAGACTGTGTGTCGCTGCTGGAGGCAGGAAGAGGTGGGAGTGTTGACTGCCGACGGGAAGACCCTGAAGTGCCGTGGATACGGTAAAATTAAGTTGGGCGTCGAGCATATTCAGCCCGTGACTGTTGAGGTTCTGGTGTGGAAGGGCAGTTGCTAGGATTCGATCTTCTTCGGGATTGATGCAATCAAAGTGCTCCGGAGGTGTTTACTTGACCGAATCAGGCGAAGCTCGTTTCGGAAACCTGATCACATGTGCCGCCATTGTTATCAACAAGCCTGACTTTTAGAGTGACGTTTAACCCGAGCACAAAAACGTGGACTGCATTGTGGAAGTGGGCGAGTGGTTATTCACCCTAGCAAGTTGGTCAATAAAGTACAGGAGTACACAGTACCTGGCCACGTCCGGGATGCATAACGATGAAGAACTAGCACGGTGCAGCGAGACAGATGGCTACTGCCATATCCTGAAAAGAGCTTGGCCCACCAAGGGATTAATTCCCTTAATGGCGGTCGTACAAGAACACAAACAGAAGGTCCGACCGGTACTTGACTATCGGGAGTTGAACGGCTTTGTAGACGCATTCACGGCTGGCCGAGAGGTGTGTGCGCAGAAATTACGAGAATGGCGGCGACAAGGAGCTAACGTATCGCTGTTGGATTTGAGAAATGCGTACCTACAGATTCACATTGACAAATCGCTATGGCCGTTTCAAACAGTGGTCATTAAGGGCAGCGGTTTTTGCCTTACTACGCGTTTGGGTTTTGGCCTGAATGTGGCACCACTTGTCATGAAGTCAGTGATCGACATGATAACGTCAGGATCAGGACATTAAGGTACCCACGTCGGCATCGTCGACGATATCTTCATAAATGAAGGCCTAGTTTCTGCAGCAGCGTAAGACAGCACTTTGCAGATTACGGCTAGTCTGTAAAAAGATCCGGGGCGATTGAGAGGCGGAACTAAGGTCCTGGGTCTGCAAGTCTGGGAAGAAAGCAACTCCCTTCGATGGAAGCGGGGAGGTCAGGTTCAGAAATTGCTCAAAAAGTTGACCCGTGAGCGTATTTTCCTTGTGCAGGGAAACTTGTGGGTCATTTCCTGTGCGGTTGGCTTAGGGTGGCAACTGCATTTATTAAGCGTTATGCAAGTACACTAACCAAAGGATGGGACGACGAGATAAAGGATGCCCCTCTTGGACGTATGCTGGAGGAAACAGTGGCCAGAGGGAATCAGATCCTGTCGGCGGAGACTGGTGTGTGAACGGCAATGAAATGACAGTTTGGGTGGATGCAAGCTCCGTGGCCACAGGAGTAGCACTAGAGGTGAATGGGGCGTCGTGGAAGATGCTTGCTGGTTGCGCCCAACCAATGATGCCAAACACATTAATCTTGCTGAGCTTGATGCGGTAATCAAGGGCGTGAATCTTGCCTGCAGTGGCAGGCACCAGTTATGCATGTGGTCACCGATTCAGCATGTGTGCATCGGTGGGTGTCTGACACCTGACAGGAAGGACGCAGCGTGAACACGAAGGCAGCGGGTGAAAATGCTGATGAGGCGGGCGCTTAGAGACACTGCGAGCTTTGGTGGAGGAGTGCGCACTGACTATGACTGTGACGTTGGTGAAGTCTTGTCAGAACCAAGGCTGACAGCCTCACCAGAGTGCCGCAACGCTGGTTGGAGATGCACAAGAAAGGAGGAGAACGTTGCAAGTGAGTTGTGTCACTGCAACGAGCCAGTTGAGCAAACGTCAGGTGACCCACATCCACCAGCAGAGTGGGCAACCCAGGTGTTAAAAGAACAATGTACTTTGCTGGGACTGTAGATCCAACGGTGTCTAAAGAACTGGTGAAATCTGTCGTTAGAACCTGTGAAGCCTGCCAATTGATCGATCCAGCACCAGTGCATTGGAAGAAAGGAAATTTGAGTGAGAAAAAACTGGAGCAGGTTAGCAATGGACGTAACCCATTGCAATGGTAGCCATTTTCTTACGGCTCATTGACTGTGGTCCTCCTGTTTTGCAGTATGGCGGCCACTGAGACGGCAAGACTCTGCTGGTGTCATTCGTCAGCTAGAGACAGTCTTCACTTAACCAGGCCCGCCGACCGAAATACTGACTGACAATGACACCACGTTCACTTGCAGACAATTTAGGGAATTTGTGAACAGCTGGGGCGTGCATTTGAGGTTCGTGCGCTTACGTGCCGTCTGGAAATGGGTTGTGGAGAACGCAACCACAGAAGCGTCAAAACCATAGCGGCCAGAAAAAAATTGTTCAGTCTTGGAAGCGGTTTACTGGCATAACGTCACACCTAAGGACAACCTTTCACCTTCCACGGCACCGGCTGATGTACTGCACACATACCACGTCCGGGTGAGAGGCATCGCGACGCCCCGCCTGAATCACAAACAACCGAAGGGGAATACAAGGAAGGGACATTGTCTGGGTTAAGACTCCACGTGGTAAATGCACGACCAAATTTGGAACCGGACGTGTGACCGGTGGTGAGTCAGCAGTCAGTGCTTGGTCGATGGAACACCTCGTCATGTTAGAGACCTGCGCCATTTTTGGGCTCAAATCCCACAACTGACGAAAGAAGACACGGAGGATAGTGAACAGCCAATATACATAGAGTTGGATTCAACAACCAATCACTCCGATAGTGGTAGTTTGCCAATAGATCGGGACGTGTCTAATGAGAGCTCCTCTGATGAAGAAGTTCAACCAATCCCCCTTCGGAGGAGCACCCGGAACAAAAGACCGTATCCTCACTGTCATCTGTGTGATCAGGAGATCAGTGGGGAGTGTGGCGGACATGAGACAGAACCTGGGACCATTTAAAAACGCGAAAATTGACATGTCTGATGCCGTTAATATCATTTAGACCCCACTTGTCTTTGTGCACATTCAGACAGTCAGATAGGGAATCTTTTTTTTTTTTTGATTTAAGATAAAAGACATGATAATAGAGAAAAATTTGGAGAATTTGATTCTAGAAAGATCTCATCCTCTGACATTTAGCATTCATTGTATCTTTTGACTTACACTTTTATATTTTGCGTATACACATGCCTGGGAAGCACTAATAAATGAAAATATGATGGGGCCCTTCTCTGTCCCACTGATAACATGAATCGGATCCCCCACTTTGTTTTATTTGCTTCTTCTTCGTGCCAGTGTATACAAAAACAGGAAAAAAAACTTTCAAGAAATTAAAGATACAAATCTGGATCCAGTTTATTTTAAATAGGTCCTGGTTGGATCCAGTATTTTCTCTGCTTATAGATGGCGGGGGGGGGCACATAGGCTCCCTTTGTCTCTTAGTTCAGTTGAGTGACTGCTATCAACTCATTGAACAGATGGCGCCTCTCTCTGGCTTACAGCCATATAGTGTCGAAACATTGGTTCCCATATGATCACTGTAGTTAAGCAATGTTTAACCTGGTCAGTACCTAGATAGGTGACTGTTTGGAAATACCAGGTGCTCTAAGGTTGGATGTGAGGGTGGGGTTATGGATAATGGTTTGGAATTGTTACTCAGAGAGCCGAGTTCCAATTTCAGTTTGGTTTGTTATATTCACTTATGCAGAAATACTCTTTCGAAAGGTATGAATCCACCTTTTCTCCTCCCAGCTATGGGTTAATTAGTAAAACTTTTATCACTAAATTATCATTATCTCCCAAAAAATTCTTACAGTCTAAAAATATTTTCTGGCTTTAAATAACCTGCAAAGGGTTGATAAACCATAGAAAATGAACCAATCAATGAAATACTGATTAGCTACACAGGCATGTCTTTTAGATTCATTTACATTCTCTGGAATATAAATCTATAGAAACTACAGTGGACACGAAGTGAGGGATCAGTTTATATATTGATTGTAATATAGAATTGATCTCTTACTTTATATCCACATTATAATTTCTTGTTGGCATATCTTTTAGATTTATTTATGTTCTCCGGAATATAAATGTATAGAAACTACAGTGGACAAAAAATGAGGGATCAGTTTATATATGGATTGTAATATAGAATTGATCCATCACTTAATATCCACATTATAATTTCTTGTTTATTTATCAAATTCTGATTAGTTATGAATCAACCTTTTCTCCTTCCAGCTATGGATTAATTATAAGTCTTTTATCACTAAACCATTATTTTCTAAAAAAAAAAAAAAATTCTTACAATCTAAAAATATTTTCTTTCTTTAAATAACCTGAAAAGGGTTGAAACATCATAAAAAATGTATCAATCAATCTCTCTGTCTAGTCTTAACCAAGACTATTTATAGTGATTTTCTAAGTATAGTTTAAATGTGGCACAAAACTGAAAGTAGGAGGCACCCAGTGAGGATCAAACTCACTACTCAGTCATAATTGTTCTAGCGAGACAAGCTTGCTAACCATTACACTGCTTTGAAGTGCCCAACCAAGACTATATAAGGCTACAAGCGGAAACCTTTGGTTTCCAACCAAGTGCCACTTGATCCCCTTTTTTATTCATTTTATTTTCTTCTTGAATGTCTAACTTGAGAACTAAAAAAAATGCCAAGAAATTTTGCCAGAGTTCTTTTGTTTGAACGCCACATTTAACATTTGTGTTTTTGTTCTGTTTTAAGCTACTAAATTTCTATCCTTTGCTTTTCTCTCAAATAATGGTAACAAAAATCCCAACAATTAAATAAACTGTACCAAATTTCCTGTTTTGTAAGTAGTATTTTTTCAAATGCTCTTTAATTTATCAGTGGGTATACTGGGGGAACAGGTGTCAGTAGTAATTAAGGATAAAGTTGTGTCAAGTACCAATGTAGATATTATTGAATATTTTCTTGTGTGATAATTTCATTTTATTTCTGTTGCAGAAAATACACCTTCATCTGGTCAGATATGGAGACCTTCCTACTTCAACCGATTCATGAACAAAATGGTATGTCAAAATACTTTGAACAGTGTCGAGCAATTTTGAATATTTTGATTTACTTTCAAATTTGATGAGCAGTGACAATAGTGATTATTTTTTGTGATCTTTTCTTGTATTTTTTTACCAAATTTTTACACTCAACTTATTTTTTTCCAATTCAGACAAATAAACTCCAGTTCTTGGAGATTCTTTGTCTTTAACTATTTCCACAATTTTTCTATCAGATTATGGTCAGAGCTTTGAGCTGGTCATAGTAAAACATCAATCCTATTTTGAAGTACACTGAGAATCATTGTCCGAGGATGTCTCATAATCAGATCCTTTGTATACTTGTTATATAGGAATAAATTGTCACTGCCGATATTTGAGTTTGAACATAGATCGCCAGTGAACAAACACAGGTGATCCCATTATTGAATTAACTAGACCATGTGACCATAGATGAAACATATATATGGGAGTTAGCATGTGTCTAATTGATCTGCATTTCTAGTCTATCCTCTATTACTATACGGATCTCTATTTCTAGTCTATCCTCTATTACAATTCGGATCTCTATTTCTAGTCTATCCTCTATTACAATTAGGATCTCTATTTCTAGTCTATCCTCTATTACTATTCGGATCTCTATTTCTAGTCTATCCTCTATTACTATTCGGATCTCTATTTCTAGCCTATCCTCTATTACTATTTGGATCACATTTCTGTTCTATCCTCTATTACTATATACGGACCACTATCCTTTACTATATACACTATACTATTTCTCTATTCAGATCACTATATGGGTTACTTGTTGAGTGAGTATTATCGAGAAAGTACTAATAGCACAGGTGCTATTTGAAGGCAACTGACACCAGTATTGCTCAACAGCTTTACTATAGTTGTAATCTGTGATTACAAAGTCGCTACTACAATAAACATCACAAAAGTGGCAACAAGTGTTCAGTGACATCACAAAAATACTAAAATCTACCTTGCTGTATAACAAATTTAGTACAGGAAATAAAGAAATTGAACATAGAATAAGTTGTGCTTTGATTAGTTTTACTCAACACTGCAAATTGCTACAAAACAAAAACATTAAGATAGCTTAGTCTACTCTACCATTTAACCCATAGCTGGGGAGAAAGTATCAATGTGCATGTAGCATAGAAAGGGATCATAAAAAGTTTAAATTCACTTTTGATACCCTTGTGGAAGGTATGAATCCATTTCTTCTTTCCCCCCACTTATGGGTTAAATAGTAAAGCAAACTGAGCTCTCTTGCCTTGGGGTGGCAACAAACATAGAAGAAGAGCAAGTCTGTGTTCCCAACCGGCTTGAAGAGGGATCGGCTTTGTCTGGCTATGTTGCCTTAGACATACCCACATCTGCAGACCCAATGACCCTAAAAGGGTTCAGGACTTGTGAATGTAGAGATTCATTGATACATATATGTCAGGTAATATACCTCCCCTGGAGATTTTTTTTTAATCAATTCACCCCAAGCAAAGCAAAAATGCCACTAAGATGCAATTGGCTTTGTTTGGCTATATTGCCCTAGACATACCTACACCTGGGGACCCAGTGACCCTAAACAGTTACAGGACTTGTGAATGTAGAGATTCATATACTGATACATATGTATCAGGTAATATGTCTCCCCTAGAGATTTTTTTTTAATCAATTCACCTCAAGCAAAGCAATAACTCCACTAAGATGCAAAGGGTTACTAGGAGTGAAAGAGAATGAGAAAACTTTAGAAAGAACTGGAAACCTAATCCTAAACAGGAAACAAGGGATAAACCTCTACTCCTGTTCAAAAGACTGGGAAGGAATATAGACTGGGCGATCTTCAAGTTTTCTCATTTCCTCTTCTGTTTTGCATCATCTAGTAATTTTTGCACCATTATATTTTTGTATGTGCATCCAATGGTCTTAAGAAACCTTAGATCTGTACCTAAGGGTTATGCTTCAGCTGTTGATGGTGGTGTGGCATCTGTCATGGCTGTACAGGCCCATACACAAGAGTGACTGTCTTGATTGCAACAAATGCATGTGAAGATGCTCTCTACTGATGTCGCCTTATTGTTTTCTTTCCACTGAGCATGCTTCTCCCCAGCAGCAAGCCTTTGTTTCTCCTCTCCTTACTCCAGCTCGCAGTGTAAATTGCGTCTCAAGCATGAGCAATCGTTGGTGATGTATTCCCCACCTCTCAATGTCCATGTTCATTACCCTCATGACCCTTTTGTAGCCATCTTTGACACAAAGATGAAGTTGCTCTCTTGCCAGTGGCCAATTCCCTATACAGAATGACCTTCAGAATCCTTGCATCTAACATACGGTATACATGTCCAGGCCAGTGGAGTTGGCACTGTTGGAGAAGGGCATAAGAAGGAGGCTTATATTTAACATCAGGAAGGGGCAGCTGAAGTTTCTGGGACACGTAATGAGAAAGGAGGTCCTGGAGAATCTGATACTCGTCATTCCAGAAATATGAATAGAAATCCTTTTAGGTTTGAAATTTTTTCCCTGTATGTCCTTTGAGAATCACTGTTCTAGAATAATTTAATTTGCTATGAAATTTATTAATAACTTTTGAAAATTCAAGGATGTAAGGTATTCTCCCTCTCCCCTCATAGGGTGGGCGTTTATATAACTTCGCATTATTCAGTTGTCTTGTATGCGCATATCCCAAGTTCAGCTGGATTCATGTTGGTATACCGACCAACATTTTTTCAGATCAATTATGTACTTGGTTTCTTTTTTAGTCACATTATTAGGGTCACCACAGATCAATTCTTTTTAGTTCAAGTTTTCTAATGGACGTTAAATTTGATTCAAACCTCTGGCATTTCCTAGAATTAATCTCATATTTCTTTATTATATTTTTGAGGAAGTGTTTTTTTTTTCCCTTGATAAAGTTCTTTTTTGTTTGCAGTGGTTATTGAGAATCAAATCAATCAGGTATCAACACGTTCACTTGATGACAGTACATTGAACAAAGCTCTTCAGCAACAGATCAGTTGCCCAAATCGACTCCTGGTTACCCCAAAGACTGATGCTGTCATTATTCTTGGCTATCCAGAACTTGAGGTACATTTTACTTTTAATCCTTCTATTACAGCAAAAAAAGATCTCCACCTACAGCAGATTGGGAAACTCACTGACTTAAAAATTTTATGGCCAAGTTACTGAGGAATGGGTGTTTTTGTCAAGTTACCATCTCTGAAGAGATTCCCTACCAAGGCTGAAAATTATATCTTTCCCTGCTAAAACAACCTTCAATGGTATACGGTTTCATAAACCAAATTTTTTTTTTATCATTTCACCCCAAGCAAGGCAATAAAGCCACTAGAATGCAAGGGGTTACTGAGTGTGAGAGAATATGAGGAAAAATACTATTACGGAGAGAGAAAAGAAGAGGAATTAAGAAGACAGAAGATAACGATTGACATTGCATTGAAATTTTTGAAGATCAAAGTTGAGTGGAAAGTAAGAAGAGTGAAAGAGAATTAGAAGACTTTAGTGAGGGGAAAGGACAATAAAAGAAGAGGAATTAAGAAGACAGAAGATGGCGATTGACATTGCATTGAAATTTTGAAGATCAAAGTTGAGTGGAAAGTAAGAAGAGTGAAAAGAGAATTAGAAGACTTTAGTGAGGGAAAGGACAATAAAAGAAGAGGGATTAAGAAGACAGAAGATAACGATTGACATTGAATTGAAATTTTTGAAGATCAATGTTGGCTGGAAAAGCAAGAGTGAAAGAGAATTAGAAGACTTTAGTGAGGGGAAAGGACAATAAAGAAGAGGAATTAAGAAGACAGAAGATAACGATTGACATTGCATTGAAATTTTTGAAGATCAAAGTTGACTGGAAAGTAAGAAGAGTGAAAGAGAATTAGAAGACTTTAGTGAGGGGAAAGGACAATAAAGAAGAGGAATTAAAGAAGACAGAAGATAACGATTGACATTGCATTGAAATTTTTGAAGATCAAAGTTGACTGGAAAGTAAGAAGAGTGAAAAGAATTAGAAGACTTTAGTGAGGGAAAGGACAATAAAGAAGAGAAATTAAAGAAGACAGAAGATAACGATTGACATTGCATTGAAATTTTTGAAGATCAATGTTGGCTGGAAAAAAAAGAAAGAGAATTAGAAACTTTAGTGAGGGGAAAGGACAATAAAAGAAGAGAATTAGAAGACAGAAGATAACGATTGACATTGCATTGAAATTTTGAAGATCAAAGTTGACTGGAAAGTAAGAAGAGTGAAAAGAGAATTAGAAGACTTTAGTGAGGGAAAGGACAATAAAAGAAGGGAATTAAGAAGACAGAAATAAATTGAATTGAAGAAATTTTTGAAGATCAAAGTTGACTGGAAAGTAAGAAGAGTGAAAGAGAATTAGAAGACTTTAGTGAGGGAAAGGACAATAAAGAAGAGGAATTAAAGACAGAAGATAACGATTGACATTGCATTGAAATTTTTGAAGATCAAAGTTGACTGGAAAGTAAGAAGAGTGAAAGAGAATTAGAAGACTTTAGTGAGGGAAAGGACAATAAAAGAAAGAATTAAGAAGACAGAAGATAACGATTGACATTGCATTGAAATTTTTGAAGATCAAAAGTTGACTGGAAAGTAAGAAGAGTGAAAAGAGAATTAGAAGACTTTAGTGAGGGGAAAGGACAATAAAGAAGAGGAATTAAGAAGACAGAAGATAACGATTGACATTGAATTGAAATTTTGAAGATCAATGTTGGCTGGAAATTGAAAGAGAATTAGAAGACTTTAGTGAGGGGAAAGGACAATAAAAAGAAGAGAATTAAGAAGACGAAGATAACGATTGACATTGCATTGAAATTTTGAAGATCAAAGTTGACTGGAAAGTAAGAAGAGCAAAAAGAATTAGAAGACTTTAGTGAGGGGAAAAGGACAATAAAAAGAAGAGGAATTAAGAAGACAGAAGATAACGATTGACATTGAATTTTTGAAAAGTTTTTGAAAAGATCAAAGACTTTGGCTGGAAAGGACAATAAAAGAAGAGGAATTAAAGAAGACAGGAAGATAACGATTGACATTGAATTGAAATTTTTGAAGATCAAAGTTGGCTGGAAAGCAAGAAGCCAGAAAAGAGTTCCACAAGCATGAGAAATGCTATAGAAGAAACTGTTAGTATAGAATGTATGTTTAGATCTAGCAGCCATTTCAAATGTAAAATGATGAGACCTTGCTGCCAATCTAGTAATATGCTTAAATTAATAAAATCTCAGTACCACAGTGGAAAGTTCATCAGAACAATTACAATGAAATTACTTGTAGAAAAGGCACAGAGAAGCTACAGTGGTGGGAAAGTGACTGAAGCTGAGATGCCAGGACAGGACCAATAACATTGCAGATTCTTCTTTGCATTTTATTAAGAATCTCTTAATATATAGACCAGATGTGGCTGTAATATTCAAAGCCAGGACAAATGGTTGATCATGAATCCTGTGACCCATCACAGTTGTAGGGCCATGTACTTCAACTGATGTAAAAGTTGTGTTTCTTGGGCAAGATAGCTTGAAAGGGCCCAACCATCTCCAGGCTGGTTTTGAATTCAGAGTTACTTTCTCCTAGATCGGTTGCCACCCAAGGCTATAGAATTCAGTCAGTCCTGCTATTTACCCATAACTGGGGAGAGAAGAAGAGGATTCATACCTTTCCCAAGAGTATTAGCACGTAAGTGAATGTAATGGGTCCAACTGGAATTTGAACTCGGCTTTCTGATTCCACAATCTGAGCCACTATCCATTACTCCACCATGCCTCCTTAGTGGACTTATAAAATATGCGAGATAGCTTCTGGCAAGAAAAATTTTCTGGCATGATAAAGTGAACCAACTTTCTTAGCTGCAGACTTAGCAATTGATATCAGCTGAAAACGTTAGTCCGAGAAGGCACAATGACTCATTCTCCTGGGTACTGGCATCAGCCATACTGTTGAAAGGCAAAAAAAAGTTTTGTCTCAGAGAATTTTTTTAATCAAAAGAGTAATTTTATTTGAAAATATTAATTAAAAGTCAGACTAAATAAATTCTATTTTATACAGGATTGTAATGTTCTTCTTCTCTGTGTTTAGTTGGAAAGAGAAAATATGAGATAGAGAGTCAAGTAGAGAGAAAGAGAGAAGGTGATGAATAGACTGGGAATGATAGAGAGAGAGATGAACAGAGAGAGAATTTCTGATACAGCAAACAGGGAATGATAGAGAGAGAGAGAGGAATGAACAGATGGAAAATGATAGAAACAGACAAAGGAAGAGAAACTATAAATAGAGTGAGAGAGTGGCCATAATGAGACACGCAATAAGATATATAAATAAGTAGATGCAGAGAGTAAATGAACAGAGATAGATAGATAGATAGATAGATTTGGACAGACTGGGATAGATAGATAGATAGATAGATAGATAGATATGAACAGACTGAAATAGATAGATAGATATGAACAGACTGAAATAGATAGATAGATATGAACAGACTGAGATGGATAGATAGATATGAACAGACTGAGATAGATAGATAGATAGATAGATAGATATGAACAGACTGAAATAGATAGATAGATATGAACAGACTGAAATAGATAGATAGATATGAACAGACTGAAATAGATAGATAGATATGAACAGACTGAGATGGATAGATAGATACATATGAACAGACTGAAATAGATAGATAGATATGAACAGACTGAAATAGATAGATAGATATGAACAGACTGAAATAGATAGATAGATATGAACAGACTGAGATGGATAGATAGATATGAACAGACTGAGATAGATAGATAGATAGATATGAACAGACTGCGATAGATAGATAGATATGAACAGACTGCGATAGATAGATAGATATGAACAGACTGCGATAGATAGATAGATAGATAGATATGAACAAACTGGGATAGATAGAATATGATTAACAGATAGATAGATAGATAGAATATGATTAACAGATAGATAGCTAGATAGAATATGATTAACAGATAGATAGATAGATAGAATATGCAAGGATGTATAGTAGACTTATATTTATATAAGATAGATTCTGGCGAGAAAAATTGTCTAGACCAACACAGTGAACCAATTTTCATAGCTGCAGACTTAGCAATTAATTCAATCTACTCTTTCCACTTCATCTCGGCTGAAAACATTAATCCGAGGAGGCACAATGGCTACTCTCCTGAAAGTTAGTATCACTGGAGGTTATGACGAATGAGGAGTGATATAAGTAAAAAAGTGGGGCAGTATGAAATGAAAATAATGATGATAAGGATTGATTGATTTATTCATTTTCAGAATTTTCTTTTTAATCTTTTCACCCCAAGCAAGGCAATAAAGACACTTATATGCAAGCGGTTACTGAGTGTGAGAGAATAGAAGAAAAAGAAAACAATATATAAGGAAAGAGAACAATAAAAGAAGAGGAATTAAGATGACAAAAGATAATGATTGACATTGCATTTAAATTTTAAATATCAAAGTTGACTGGGAAGCAAGATGCCAGAAGAGAGTTCCACAAGTGAGAAGTTCGAGAGAAGAAACTATTAGCATAGAACTTACGGTTGCATATAACCATTTCAATTGTAAGATGATACATTGGTGGCAATCTAGTATTGCGCTTAAATTCATAAATTCAAGGTACTAAAAAGGAAAAACAATTACCATGAAAGTATTTATAGAAAAGGCACAGGGAAGCTACGTTATGGCAATGGGAAAGGGTCTGAAGCCGAGATGCCAGGTCAGTACCAATAACATTGCAGCTTATATTTTATCAAGAATCTCTAAATACATTACAAAAGACTAAATGTGACAACAATATTCAATATTGTAAAATAGATTCTAGCGAGTGTAAACCAACTCTTTTAGCTGCAGACTTAGCAATTGATTTAATATATTCTTTCCACTTCATCTCGGCTGAAAATATTAGTCTGAGAAGGTGCAATGAGTCACTCACCTGGAGGTTAGCAAAGGGTTCTCTCAGGGCTCTCTTAAAATTTCACAATAATAGTGGACTTGAGAAATCTATTTTCTTGAAAAATTGTTTTAATTTTATTTTTTTTTAATAATTTCACCCCATGCAAGGCAATAAAGCCACTAAGTCACAAGGGATTTTTGAGGGTGAAACAACAAGAGAAAGGAGAAACATAATTAAGGAGCAATAACAACAGAAAAGTGATCAAGAAGACAGTAGATAATGATTGACATTGCATTTAAATGTTTGAAGATCAAAGTTGACTGGAAAAGCATGGAGTTGGAAAGGAGTTCCACAATCAAGAAGTGCAAGAAAAGAAACTGTTAGCATAGAACTTACGATTACATCTATCCAATTTAACTGTCAGCTGAAACCAACACTTGCAGTTTCGTCAATAAAGGTTGAATATTTCCTTATAAGGAAATGGCTAATATTTCCATCTCCATTGATGGAAGCACTGGAAGAGTTGCAGGTGGTGAGGATTCATGATCCCTGACATTGAGCTATACAGGAAACTAAGGACTTACGTAACTATGCATATCTTTCTGTATCAAAGCTCCATGTATCGTATGATTTAAATTTTTTTTATTAAATATCAATCCTGATGAGTGCTGAAAAATAAAGTTTTTATGTGGTTGAGCACATAATCATCGAAAAATGCAGTTTTGAGAAAACTCTAATAAAGTTGTTTAGACTAGTATATGCTTTCTTGTATTGCTTCTTCCTATCAATAAATTTGCTTTTATAATGCTCAACTTCTTCATACCATGACACGGCAAAAATGTCACACTATAGTGTAATTCTCGTCAATGCAATCCTATTTAAATATGAAGAATAAAGTAATTTCCAGAGTGATTATTATTGGATAATTTAATATACCATTGATGGATGTTTCTGACTAAAATAATACTTTTAACTGATACTTTTATGTGGGAATCTATATATAAAATTCTGTAACTTCTATTAGTCCGTCCATCAAACCCTTTAAAATAGTCATACATTGACCAATCAAAACAAAATTTTGGGGAGAAGGGCAAACAGGTAAAGGGGTACAAAGTACAGTATTAGTTTTTTTTTTTGATTACTTTACATAAGCTGCCTAAACGAGCTGACATTGGTTGTTTTTAAGTGAAAACAACTCAGTTTTGACTACTTTTTAGGTGTTTTTGTAACTTTGCAAACACCACTTTATTTTTTTAACTAGAATCCAGGTCACCCTGTATTATATTAACACTAATATACTAATATATTTTCTGTTTATAAATTATTTTTATGGATACAATTTATTTGAGTAAATGCTCTGTCTTTAATTAAACTTTATTACATCTACCGGCCTGAATGTTTGAGAAATTTTGTAGAAAATAATGTGTTCTCTGTCAGAATTGAACCTGTATCCCATATGGAAACCGTCATATAGCAAGTTGTATCCATAAAAAATAACGTATAAAAAAAAATATATATATATATATATATATATATATATATATATATATATAGCAATATACATATATATAGCAACCCTTTAATGTTGGTTTCATGATAAAAAAACTTCAAATGGGAAGGAAAATTCATGACAGCTTAACCTGGTCATTATATTGCATGTGTCTGCCGAGAGGCGTATACTCACTGGTATTGACTGTGATCCAGAGAGGTTAAACTCCACGATAATAACACATGAGGACTGTCGTTTGGAGTTTCTGTGGCATGTCTTTTGCACCGTTACTTTTTTATTGATAGATCCAAAAAGTGTGGATAGTCCGACACAAGCCTTTACCATTTGAAACAAATCATTGTGTTGGTTTTCTGACAACTACATTAGTTCCACATATATCCACCTACTGCGGAAAACTCTCTGATACAACATCAACTTCATCTTGGCATCTGGAATGTACGTACTTTCCAGGACAACAACTCAGCACCAGAAAGAAAAACAACTGTGGTCGCATTGGAGCTAATGAAGTACAACATTGATATAGCTGCACTGAGAAGTAAGCATCAGTCGACTACATGAAACACGACAGCAAAATAAGACATCTGTGTTCCTGCTGCACTTGGATACAATATATTCTCATGTACCTTTTGTGGTCGTTTGTGCAATTCTTGAGCCAGTCTCAAAAGTCATGCCCGTCATAAGCATGCAGATAATTAGTTTGTGGTTGTCGGAACCTCATACATCGAACTCGATGGGAAAGTCCGTCATGTATATATATATATATATATATATATATATATATATAAATCAGTCAGATTAAAAATCCATTATTTTCTTTAGAAAAATTGCTTTATTTATGTTTGGATACAAAGCTGTACAGATATGAAAAATTTCAGTTCTATGACGAGAGAAGTTTTGTTTAAAGGCACAGTTTCTACCTTGCCTGACTGACTGTAGTTCAGTTGATTAACACATGCCAGGTCTAACAGTAGCTCCCTCTGCCCAGGGAAATGCAGGGTTGAATCCTGCTGAGGGGAGTGTAAATTTTTCTTTATTAATTGAACATTCAGGCCAGTAGATGGAAATAAATATAACATTTAAGAAATAAATATACTGTTTAATAAATAGATGGAGTAGTAGATATGAGTATCTACTAAAAACAATGTTTAAAATGAAAAAAAATATATATATATATATCTTGTTTTTTATCCCCAGTATTCCAGTAACGACATTTATGTTCTACCTCGAGATGACCAAAGTGGTGGGCCGCTTTCGTATATTCCCAATCCATCAAAAGCTTCGAATGAGCCAACCGATCCAGTTGTAGTCCTTCCTGAATCTGGTCAAATTATTCGCGCTATTGAAACTGAGGATGTTCCAAAGTCTGCTGAAATAACAAGTAAGTTCTTTTGTCGGCTCTGTCTGTAAGGATTTGTTCCAGGCTAAATAAAACTTGGTGAATAACTGTTCATTGCCTAAGAGATCAAATGATTGTAATCAACACTTGTAATAACTGAGGTAATTTCTATTTAAATTACTGTGATTAGGATTTTTTTACACTACTTTTCACTCAGTACAAGCCCCAAGAGCCACTCAAGTTAGAGGATTACTGAATAAGGTTGTTTTATGTATGTAAAAATTGTAGATTATGAGGATATGCAGGATAGATAATGGTTGACTGTATACTTGCATGATATGTACATTTTTTTATACTAATGTTCAGTCAATACAACGCCTAAGAGTCAGTCAAGGTAGAGGGTTACTAAATGAGGTTTTTGTATGAGTGTAAGAGGAGGAGGTAAGAAGTGCAATTTCTGAGGATATATAGGAAAGATAACAGTTAATCCTAGACTTGAAGTTGTAAAAATTGTATTGGTCTAGAAAGTATCCTCTTAGGAGTCACCTATTCAAATGGGACTTCTTCCCTACCAATGGTATACAAAGGGAATGAGGATAGTTTCACCTGAGTATATGATATGGTGAATGTCTGAACTGATGGAACTTTATAAGGGTCAAAAGGTTAGAGAACTGTCACACTCAGTAATTAATTTTGACATATGTCTGGGTGACATGCATGTTTTTTTTTAATCATTTCACCCCAAGCAAGGCAACAGAGTCACTAACATGCAAGGGGTTACTGAGTTTGAAAGAATATAAGGGAAATATTATTAAGGAATGAGAACAATAAAAGAACAGAATTTAAGAGGACAGAAGATAATGATTGACATTGCATTTAAATTTTTGGAAATCCAACTTGGCTGGTAAGCTAGAAACCAAAAGAGAATTCCTCAACTTTGATTGCCATTATTATAATGCAATGCAGGAAAAGATAAAACCATTACATTCATTCTGTTGAATTAACTCTGTTTCATTTACCAGTCTGCTCATATATCTGAAAAGGGCTGCTGGAGAAGAAATGGTTAAGAATAGTAGTTGTGAGTTCAATCCCTACCTCAGGCAAGTGAGGAATGAACAAAATCATTATCTCAAGGATGAGTTATCTCCCCTTGGTCTGCCCTTGTGGATTGAATAAATGGTTTTTATTTGCAAACTCTGAAAACACTACCAGATAAAACAGGCATCTGAAGAAGACCACAGAGTTTAACAGTTGAAACATTGTGACCTTAGCGTCCTGGGTATGACGATAAACTACATCCACATCCTGGGTAACCGTAAGTTCAAGAATACGGTTAAATCACGCTGAAACACCAGTTCTCGTTCGATCACCGAAGTTAAGCATCGTAGAGCCAGGTCAGTACTTAGATGGGGGACCGCTTGGGAACACCTGGTACTGTAAGCCCCCAAAGTCCAACCCTTACCTCACAGTCGGTGGGGGGTGTAAACAGTAGTGTCAGAGCTATGCCGCCAGGAACTTCGTTCCTGGTAGGGCCACCAAAAACGGACAGGTCTGACACACAAAAATAAACAACAAAGGGCTCTGGTGAAAATCAAGGGCGTCTGCATCGGTAACCGACCGATATCTGGTTGTTCCTGTCTCTCGTCTGTGGGAATCTAGCGGCAAGCAGAGCGTTATTTAGGCCTGGGTGCCCTACTTCTGTAATTTATCCCAAAAATCTTCTTCTCATAACAGGAAGAAGCTGGCTTAATCCACCCAGGGTGAATGCCGCATCAGTACAGTAGTAGTAGTACATCCTGGGTAAGATGATAAAATACGTCCAGCAGCAAGGGCTCTGATCAGGAAGTTTTGAAGAGCATGGAACCACCTCTTAATTGCTGGTGTTCCCAGGTCCACCCTGACCCGGGGTGGTAACAGCTGTTAGGGTCCCAGCTATGCGAAAATAGTTAACCACCCAGACTTGTGTAAAAATAGTTTTGTAATAAAAAAAAATTATTACTAGCAATAATTTTTGAAGGAAAAATTATTATCACCAATACTTAAAAAAAAAAATACCAGTAATACAAACAGTTATACATTCTTTGAAAAAAATATGACCAGCTATAGATTTCTTCAAGGAGGAATATTTCCAGAAATAGATTTATGAAGAAAAACATATTACCAGCAAAAAAAAATTTTGTCGGCATTAAATAACCCATTGAGGTTGATATGCCGTAAAACAAACCAAAGCAAACATTGTGACCATAACAACCATTTAGAAAAGCAGTTTGAATGAATCAGTGTATAATTCTTTTAACTAGCCAATCGGATGTTCCCTCACAAGCACCCCATGCCTTGAGCACCCCCATGCCTATTACAACTTAAACTCAGCTGAGACCTCAAGTTGAACTTGTATCTATGATTCATTTCTAATGCTGGAAAAATGGTCAGTTCTCTGTACCCGATTCCTCCTGCTATCCTTTATCTTTACAAGAGGCAGATCAAGCTGAAAATACTGCTGCCATATATGAATAGGAGCTGCACAGTCTTCATTTTCCAGTCTCAATAGAGTCCAAAAGCATCTCTTTGTCCTTGTGGATGATGGATTATTTTAGACCTTGTAATCCCTTTCTTACAGACAAAACATTGCAAACCTATCACTATGGAAAGTGTTCAGATGAACTACATTCCTTAGTTCCACCAGTTCTAGCCTTCATGGTTAAGACCTGCCATGCCAAGCACATTGTGGCGGATATGCCTCATTCCCTCCATGTTCTGTTAATGAGATGTAAGTTCCACTGAGGAGCTTCTTCCCACAAACCACTGCCACTGTGAAGTTGCTTCCCCAAACACTACAGTTTTAACCTGTTCAAGTCTAGGGTTAACTGTTATCTTTCACATGTAATATATTGCTGCTAGGCTCAAATGAGGTGGCAAACATATATATATGTATATATATACAGTTGCAGCCCAAATGTTCAGAATGGCATTGTTTCCATCAGAAAAGTAGGTATAATTTTTTATCAAAGTTGCTTTATATTCTATAATTTTCACAGACAATAAATACAATATTATTTGTTATTGTCTGAGATTTTGGTATAATTTGAGAGGATAATACAAAAGTTATGGATGATTTAGTGATTTACTGCAAAACCCATGGCGGCCAAAATGATCAGAATGGTTGAAAAAATAACAAAATAATCAAAAATGACAGAGAATACTGGAATTATTTATTATTTAGTGTGAAGCCCTTTAACTTCAATCACACTGACATCTTCGACTGCATGAGGAAATTAAATTTTCAATTTCTTGCTGGATGATCTTATTCCATTCTTCCTGAAGGGCATTCCATAATTGCTCGGTTGTTTTAGGATTTCTAGCTTTTGAACGTTCTAGAATATTCCACACATTTTCAATAGGATTGAGATCTGGGCTTTGAGCAGGCCAATCCATGACAATAACCTTTTCAGCCTTGAGGAAGTTCATGACCACCTTAGCCTTGTGCCTTAGCCTTGTGACATGGGGCATTGTCCTGTATGAATATGGTTGGTCACTTAGTTGAATTTCTCAGCACAGTCAAGACATGATCTTTTACAAGTTGTTTATAAACTCCTGCATTTACCTTTCCATGTAATCGCACCAAAGTGCCCACATCATTTCCAGATATCATCCCCAAAACCATGACACTTCCTCCACCGAATTTAACTCTAGTCTTAAGGCATTTAGGCGACATTTTTTCAACTAACGTACCTTTTCCCATCTGAGCCAAATAACAAACTTAGATTCGTCACTGAAATGAACCGTTTGCCACAACACATGTTTGGTTGCAAAGGTAAAACAAGACTTTTTATTCTTGGAGCTGATCAGTGGCTTCACTGCAGGTGCTCTTGCTTGTAGGTCATGTTCAACTAAACGATGAGACACAGTTTTTCGAGATAAAGTTTTCTTCAGTACAATGCTCATTTCCCGAGAAACAGCAGCAGCAGTTTTAAATCTGTCCTTTTTAACCAACTTTACCATAGCACGATCTTCTCTCTTGGTCGTTTTTCTTGGCCTACCTGTAGACTTTCTTGCTTCACACGAACCAAAATCATCGTAGATCTTAAGAATACCGTGAACAACACTTTTTGACTTGTGAACAATCTTTGCAATAGACCCAATACTTAAATTATCCTTCTTTTGAAGCATAGTAATCTGCTGACGAATTGGTAACGGAGTAAGTGGCATTATATTAACAAAGTACACTGCAGATATTCTTAATAATGTTTAGTAAATGAAATGTCATGTAAACAAATTAAAATAATTAGAGTTCGGTGGTTAAATATACTAAAACACAGAGTAAAACCAACCGTTCTGATCATTTTGGCTGCCGTGGGTTTTGCAGTAAATCACTAAATCATCCATAACTTGTATTATCCTCTCAAATTACACCAAAATCTCAGACAATAACAAATAATATCATATTTATTGTCTGTGAAAATTATAGAATATAAAACAACTTTGATAAAAATTATACCTACTTTTCTGTTGAAAACAATGCCGTTCTGAACATTTTGGCCACAACTGTATATATATACAAAATCTATTCCATACCTGAGGATGTCTGTAGGAACAGATGAAAGCTTGTAAAAATAATAAGAACTCATGCAACAGAAATTTATAGAAACAAGGATCTTTTCATTCATAAACAGGTTCGGGTTTTTGTATATTATTTGAATTGTTCGCGATGATGGATTTCTCGCCAATTAAATCATTAACCTTTGTATTTGTTTTTTGTATGAATAATTCATGAATATATATATATATATATATATATATATATATTTGTGTATTTAGGCAGCAATCCTTCTTTCATGCACATTTCATTGAATATGACAGCCAAGGTGCTTTTATTTAGTTTTTTGTACAATTTCTCATGCGATCTAATAATTTTTTTTCTTTTCGGATGATAAATTATATAAAAACTGTCTGAATGTTCTTTTTATCTGAGCACTTTCGGCTATACATTTAGCCATTTTCAAGGATTAAATATTTTAATTGTTAAATAAGAAATAGTTTGTTGAATGTATGTTTTATAAAATGTTTTCATTTTTTGAAACACGATCAAGATATTTTGTCCGTGTTCAAAGTTAATATTATTAAGTGTTGTTTTTTTTTTGTTTTTATTAATAAGGCTTCCATTATTTTTAGCCTTTTTTTGAAATAGTTTGTTGTATGTATGTTTTATAAAATGTTTTCATTTTTCAAAACATGGTCAAGATATTATGTCCATGTTCAAAGTTAATATTATTAAGTGTTGTTTTTTTTTGTTTTTATTAATAAGGCTTATCAATAAAAACAAAAAAAAACAACACTTAATTATTTTGAAAAATAAATCTCTTCTGAGTTCATGCTTCCCTGTCACTTAAAATCTTCAAAAATGTAAATGCAACTTCAATCAACATCTTCTGTCTTCCTGAAACCTGTTCTTTTATTTTCCTTCTCCTCACGAAGGTCTTCTTATTCAATTTCCCTTAATGTAACCCCTGTTTTTTAGTGGCTTTTTTTTTTGAAAATAAAAACAAGGAATAAATTAAATCCTTTAGTATAATACGATCCCATAGTACAGCCATCTTTTTGTAAATATTTTTTGAAAATCTGTCTATATTTCTGAGATGAGGTATTCATTGAGTAATATTAAAATGCATCATTTTTTCTCCACAAATTATAATAATGATTTAAAATCAGTCATCATATTCTTACAAAAAAAAATGTGTGACACACAGCGAGGTGCAGGTAATTCGGCTAGTTATCAATATATATGTAAATTTGTAGTGTAAATTGCCTCCCATGGATCATGGAGTTTAAAATGATCCCGACTGTGGTCATATGATAATATTTGGTAGTTTTTGATGGAGATATTATTGAGGAATTGGAGAGCTGAGTTCAAATTCCAGTTGAGTTCATTATATACACTTACACGCAAATACTCTTAGGAAAGTTACGAATCCATCTTTTCTCCCCGACCAGCTATGGGTAAATAGCAGGACAGACTGAGTGCTATAGCCTTGGGTGGCAACCAATCTAGGAGAAGGACAACTTTGAATTCAAAATCTCCAATTATGGATAAATAGTAGGGTAGACTGGGTCCTTCAGCCTTAAATGGCAACCAGTCTAGAAGGTAAACTTTGAATTCAAAAACCATAAGTAACCCTAGCAAAGCGTACACTATGCAGCTAATGAAAAGATTGTGGCATTTACACTGATTCTATGATCTTGTGTGTGTGTATATGTGTAGACAGTCAACTTGATATATATGTGATACAATACTATTATACCAAATTACTGTGTAATACTTGTATACGTTAATAGTCTGTTGACATTTCTAAGATGAGGTATTATGTACACTATTTACATTATTCAGACTATTGTCCTCATCTTTGTCGCCATATTTATCACAACGTTTCGGCCGTTGTACGCTCCGGCCTTCTTCAGGTGGTTGGAATGTTGAACTGAACCCTTTATTTCGCTCACTGGGGTAAACTGTTTTAGTTCACTGTGCCATGTTTAATGGATGTCAGTTATCAGTTATCTCCTGTTAATTTCCCTCTGAAAGTTCTCCACTGCCTTAACTAGGTATTGAACTCACACTCTTGAACACATGGCACAGTGGATAAAGGCATTGGTTAGATCCAGTGACAGAACCCATAACTGACATCCATCAAACATGGCACGTGGAACTAGAACAGTCTACCCCAGTGAGCGAAATAAAGAGTTCAGTTCGACATTCCAACCACCTGAAGAAGGCCAGAGCATACAACGGCCGAAACGTTGTAATAAATATGGCAACAAAGATGAGGACAATAGTCCGAATAATGTAAATAATCTTTTGAAAAGTTGTACCATATTTTCCATTAAAATCTCAATATCATCCATACCTGGTGTAACAGCAAAATTATCCATTTGTTAGATTAACATCTGAACTGGTGTATCTTAGAAATGATTAAAGGTAATTTACTGGAATTCTTCAAGGTTTTTATAACACTAGTGGACTCTAATAAGAATGTATAATTACTCACCAAGCTTAACAGAAGACTTGTGATGAAATTGATCATAAATGAAAATCACATGTTCATCATTAATTAATCATATCTAAGGATTGGAAGTTTATGAAGTATTTAAATAAAGTTCAAATATATATATATATATATATATATATATATATATATATATATATATATATATATATATATATTATTCCAGGATCATTTTCCAACTTATTCAAGATGATCTTTGCCCTCTCTAACCTTCTAACTTTCTGTCCTGGAGTATCAATGTTTTATCACAGGTTTCATCTATGATTACATTTTCAAGTCCTTTTTCACTGCTTTTTGGACTGTCATAGCTGAAACTCCTCTCTCACGTGCCAAATGTCGTATGAATTGAGTTGGATCTTTTCTAATTGATCACTTTAGCACTAAGCTGAAACGATGATCTCTCTTCCTGTTGTGACCTCCACATCCAGTTTTCCTCTCAACTGTTCCCTCTTTTTTAAACTTTTTCAACATTCTCTTGATGGTTTGAAGATAGAACCAGAGTATGAATGTTAGTACCATTACTGAATGCCTTAATGATCTTTTCCTCTCACCATTGCTCATTTTGGAGACAGTGGGTTTGACACTAAATGATTTTAACCTGTTCTCTTTCTAGTTGAATAACTCAAAGAGTTTTTCAGTGATTCTTATGACAAATGGTGTCAAGATGGCTAAACATCTTATCTGAAAACCTGGAAAAAAGAAACTCAATTAGTTTTGTGTTTTTTTTTTTATATTAAACATTTTGTGGGATAGATAATTATGCTGTTACATGATTTGGACAATTTTGCTGTTACAACCAGTATATTTCACTAGAATATTCACTTTTTCCCGATATTAAAGAATAAAAATGAACTGGATTTTTAGTCATTGCTTGCTTTTTTTCCTAATTTCCATTTCAAACTTGATTTCAAATTTTCGCTGTTTTTTTGTTATATTAATGTTATCAAAGTATGATAGATCTTGTGGATTCCCTTTGTTAAGAAACGGGGGACATGTGCTCTTTTTAAACCTGTTCTTTTTCTCACTTCTCCTTATTCTCTTTCACTCTTGGTAATCCCTTGTGTCTTAGTGGCATTATTGCTTTGCTTGGGGTGAAATGATAAAAAAAATAACAAAAGAAAAACTTCATCTTTTCTAATCTAATCTTTCTTTTTCTCCCAGGAGATGAATTGCTTAATGCCAGTGCTTTTCTTGAGATCATTGATTTGGTAAACCAGAAAAAGCGTTACATCAGAGTACCCAGGTAAGGTACATCAGAGTACCCAGGTAAGGTACATCTCATTAATTTACTCATATAATGCAAGATGAATATTGCCTTAGATGTTTTGAAGGCCTTTGACAAATTTTGGCATAGGACTTTGCTACACAGACTCTCCATTTACGGCATTTCTCCAAGAGTCTTCTCAATTATCAAGTCCTTCCAATCAGGTAGGCCTATGGTTGTCATTTTTAATCGCCAGTCCTCTGACGCCCATGAGATCAATCCAGTCCCCACCCCCAGGGCTTTCTACTCCTGGTCCCAGCCTCTTTCTCTTATATTAACAATCTGCACATTCTCAGATCATTAGTAAATATATATGCAGATGATACCACTGTTTAGCGGGTGCACATCCAAAAATCTAGATGACCAGAGATAAGCAACTGATCTATCCTCTGATCTTGCTTGAACAGCCCAATGGGGGAAGGAACTAGCTTGTAGCATTCAATGGCTTCAAAACCAAGTTAATAATCTTGAATCATCACAGAGGAGTTTTCTATAGGTATCTACGTTGTGATATATATGGCGACAAAGATGAGGACAATAGTCCAAATAATGTAAATAGTGTACATAATACCTCATCTCAGAAATATAGACATATACTGAAGGGTGATAAATATGGCAACAAAGATGAGGCCAATAGTCCAAATAATGTAAATAGTGTACATAATACCTCATCTCAGAAATATAGACAGATACTGAAGGGTGATAAATATGGCAGCAAAGATGAGGCCAATAGTCCGAATAATGTAAATAGTGTACATAATACCTCATCTCAGAAATATAGACAGATACTGAAGGGTGATAAATATGGCGACAAACATGAGGCCAATAGTCCAAATAATGTAAATAGTGTACATAATACCTCATCTCAGAAATATAGACAGATACTGAAGGGTGATAAATATGGCAACAAAGATGAGGACAATAGTCAGAATAATGTAAATAGTGTACATAATACCCCATCTCAGAAATATAGACAGATCAGTATCTGTCTATATTTCTGAGATGAGGTATTATGTACATTATTTACGTAATAAATAAATAATGTACATAATACCTCATCTCAGAAATATAGTCAGATTCAAGTAAATTTATTTTGCCATTTGTACTAAATAAGTAAAAATGAACACAAACCATTATTGGTACCCACCTCTCCCATAAATACCAGTGAAATATCAATTCAAGAAGTGTGTTTCCAGATAATATATGTACAAGTTTCAATCATATTTCTAACTTTTCAACACCTGTCCCATAATTTTGTTCATAGGTGTATATATGTATGTATGTTAACTCACCACACAAGATTTGTCTTATCTTCCTTGTATTTCATTGTTCATTGCATTGCCTTCTTTGTTCCTTTGCCAAAATTTTATTCCTACCTTTTTTATCTTTTTGCTCCAGAAAACTGACCCTTGTTGCCAACTGTTTCTTTATTTTGTATTTACTCACACCCTTTATAAGTTAATAATCAGATTTTAAAATTTTTCCCCCTTTTGGCTTGAAATCACTCTCATCTCCACCCAAAAGTAAATGTGGGTCAGTGTTGCAATCTAAGCCAAAAAACCTTTATCAGTTGACTTCCTTTTAGTCTTAATGGCAGTCTCCTTTGTCCTGAGCCAGAATTCTTGGCAAAAAGTCCCTTCTAAATATATTTCATACTAACATAATAACCTCATATTTTCACTGATACCATTTCAATTCATTTAACCTGATTCTTGTAATTTCTCTGTTAAAATTAAATGTTTCTGTGTTGAGCCAGAAAATTTTTCTCATCAGAATCCATCTTGCACCTTTAGAAATTTACCATTCCTCCATTCATTCAATGCTGTTGCCATATCTGCTTTGGCGCTTCTTCTGGTCTGGTGCTGATTCTATACATCTTGGCAAAATCCAAAGAAGGATCTGTAATGTACTCAATCCTGACTGCCGTGTGAATAGCTGACCTTGCACCAAATGATTGTCACAAATTTTGATTGCTACAAAACACTTGATGGTTAAAACTTTCTCCAACGAAGATCACATTCAAGTGTTACTCAAAAAGCTTTTTACATCAGTTATAGGTAGAATTTATACTACAGGGTGCGATGGATAAATTGTGGTCTAAATTACACAAAAAAGAAAATAACACTTCAACAGATATATTTACCATAATTACTCAAAAATATCTTAAAATAATAAAGATTAAATTTATTCAATAAAATCACCATTGGCCTCACCCATGTCCTCCAGACAACTTTGGAATCTCCTGCAACTCTTCTGGACAGTCTCCTTGTTTCAGTTGGTGAATGATGCTATAACCCTTGCTTTCAGTTCATTTTTAGTGTTACAAGGAGTTTTGTTAGTCTCTCACTCGACTGTCCCCCACATATAATAATCAAAAGGAATTGCAGTCTGGGGAGTTAGGTGGCTAGATGTAAGGGGGGATGTTGTTGCAGAAATTGTCTGACAGCCATGACGGGATTCTCCTGCTTGTGTGGCATGGTGCAGAATCCTGTTGTCAGACATAGGGTCTTCCAGCAGCCCCTCTTGACCCAGGGCAACACTACCTCCACAAGACACTTGATGTAGGCTTTCATGTTGTGTCTGAGGCCATGTGGGAAGATGAATGGAAGCATAATGTTGCCATCACTAGGGATCATTGAAAACACCTTTGTAATCACCATTAGACTCTTGCTGAATCCTCTTCACTGTCCTTAGATTGACATCCAAACACTTTGAAATGTTTGTATTGGAGCTTCCAGCATGAATGCCAAGCAGTACAGTATGCTGTTTCTAAATTTTTGGTGGAGTGAATTGTGTCATGGTGCTCTTTTTCTCACAGATGGTGCCCAACTGACCCTACTATACTGTGCAGTCAGCATAATTAAAAAACAAACAATGCACATGCATGAAATTAAAAATATAAAATGGTACCAATTTACCCTGTAGTGGCATGGGCAAAGTGATATTAATATAAATTACTACTGTACATAAAATGGGGGATCAAATTTCTGTTGTTGTTAAGTAATAAAATGACCCCCTGTCTAATTACAACATATTATTTATACTATTTATATTTGGACTATTGTCCTCTACTTTGCTGTTTTTATTACAACATTTCAGCCAATGTGCCCCCGCCCCGCCTTTCTTAGGGGATATATTGATCTAGATAACCTACAAGGATATTCTGAACTGAACACTTTATTTAATCTATGGGGGTAGACTGTTCTCATTCCACTGCTCATGTCTTGGAATATCGTCTTCTTCTTATTTTATTTAGCACTTCACAGTTATTGCTTGCCTGTTTCCACAGACTGCAAGTACACAATGCTCAACCCAGGGATTGAACTCACAACCTTTATGCATTGGTTTGTGAATTTGGTGACGTGGTTGTCAGTTCGTCCTATAAATTCATCCAAAATTATTAATATAAGAATAGGAAAACTGTATTTAAAGACCTGCATGTGAAAACCAGTTCAAAGAAAAGATTTAACAAAATCTACCATAAAAAATTACAGCGTGTGTAAATTAGTATTGATATAAAATTTCACTGTGCATAAAATGGAGGGTCAGTTTTCTGTTGTTATCCAGTAATAAACTGATCCCTCAAGAAATCCTATATATTAATATGCTATTTAGCAAAAAGGAATCTATTTAAAGATACATTTATGAAAACCTTCTAATAGACTTAAAAGTATATACCATTAATAAGTAATAAACAGGTCCCTCTATGAATTGGTACTTATTAAGAGAATAATTTGGAAAATAAATTTAAAAACTCAAAAATAAAAAATGACAACATGAGTAAAACTAATATTAATACAGGGTGCGGCAAAATGCTATTTTGTTTCATTTCGTTTTAAAAATTAAATTAGTCTAGTGAGTGTCATTAATTTCCACACTGTCAAAGGCATTCATGAAAGTTGTTCATAACACAACAGGTCATTTCATGTGGAATGGCAGCAATTTCTTGACAAATGGCATCTTTTAATTGTTCGATAGATTGAGGGAGATGAGTGTATACCTTCTGATTTCAGGTATCCCCGCAGAAAAAAATCGCATGAGTTCAAATCAGGTGATCAGGCAAGCCAATGTATTGCAGTTACCGATTCGTTGTTCTTGATAAATATTTCCACAATGAAAGCATGATACTCGCCTAGCCAATTCATGTTGGCATTTAAAAATGAAATGAAACAAAAGAGAATTATACTTGAATTATATAAATTTAAAGACTCAAAAATAAAAAATGACAACATAAAACTAATATTAAAACAGGGTGTGGCAAAATGATTTGACATATATTTTGGTTTAATAAAAGCAAAATAGAGTAAAGAATGAAAAATGTGTTTTTATTTTCAAAATGTACATATAATGTCATTTTATTTTAAAAATTAAATCAGTCAAGTGGGTGCTATTTCTTTCCACACACTGTCAAATGTGTTCACAAAAATTGTCCATAACACAACGGGTCATTTCATGCGGAATGGCATCGATTTCTTAACGCATGCCATCTTTTAATTGTTCAATAGATCAAGGATGATGAGTACATGCCTTCTGGTTTCAGGTATCCCCGCAGAAAAAAAATCTCCTGAGCTCAAATCAGGTGGTTGGGCAGGCCAACACTCTTTGTGTTGCAGTTACCGATTCGTTGTTCTTGAAAAACGTTTCCACAATGAAAGTGCAATAGTCACTCATCCAATTCATGTTGCCAACTGAAAATGAAATGAAACAAAATCGCATTGTATGTAAATTTTGAAAATAAAAACACATTTTTCATTTTTTACTCTATTTCGCTTTTATTAAACCAACAAAGGTCTCACATCATTTTGCCACACCATATATATATATATATATATATAAAATTAAGGAAAAATTGTAAAAAATAAAAGCATACTACCTAACAGTAACTAATAGAATTATATATTATTGTCATGTAAATCTATCGTCTTATAAACTAACAAAAACATTAAATGAAATCTTGAAGGAGAAAACAAATTTATAAG